TTAATCTCTCTCTCCATCAATTAACTCATTTAAATTCAATGCAAATCTTCGATCGCACGTTTCTATGTGGTTTACATATTATTTGCATTCTTTCATGTTTATTAAAGCTTTGTGTTCTTTTTTTATTTTTTATTCTTTATACGTTTGATTTCGATATTTGCATTGTTTTTAAACCAGCGCCAGCATTTATTTTGATTGGTCTTGTGTACGCAGCGGTTTTTATAAACTTCAAAATTTAATTTCCTGCTGCCGGTAAAGTCGTTTTAAAGTCGACTTTTTTCTTAACCAGTAACAATTGTCATTTGTACAATTGTTTTTTTTTTTTATTTTTAAAATTTGTTTGGGTAGCTGCTGCAATTTATTATTAATACGGCACAAATATATTTCTGTTAAACAAAAAGCTTTGGGTTAAAACCAAAACTAAACGAATGTTACATAAAACGTGACATTTCGTGGAACTCACAATTTTATGCCAAAAAACATTTTGGTTTATTTTTAATGATTTTTTCAACTCGTGATTGTATTTACTATTGGTAGTTATTGTTATTATTTGTGATTGTTTGTGCGATGCACGTTTTGTCTTTTGTGATGTATTTTGCATTTTATATCAAAGAGGAAAAAAGATCACGCTGAAAATGATATAAAAGCAGTGTTATTGATTTCCTTTCTTTGGTTTGATTTTAGATTCATTTTGTATTCTACGGAAATGAAATACTTCTAAAATCAAAAAAATTAGTCTAGAAAACCTTTTAAAAAATCCCAGTAATAAATACTTACTAAGCACAACGATTACTTATGACTTCCCCACTAGAACAGCCTTATCAAGCAACAATTTCTTATCAATTAAACCAGCAAAGCTTTGTTTATTGTGGAAATTCCATTTGAAGTCAACATTTGCCTTCAACTTGTTGACCCACAAAGGACCCAAAGACCCAAAGCAACAAGTGAGCTTTGCAAAGGATTTCGACGCCTAAACAGGACAAAGCTCCTTGTAAACATTAGCGCCATCTGGACAAAGCTTGTGGAAACAAAGATTTTTGCCAAAAAATCAACTTTCTTTACCACTTATAGAAAGTTCAGATGCCATAAAAATGCCATTAGGCAAAAAAGTACAAAAATAATAAATAATTACTCAATTTTTCATGTCAAAGATAACTCTTGAGAGGCGTGAAAAAAACTGAAGTTTACACACTTTTTACGGATTTAATGGTTTTTCATGTTTGCCGTACAAATTTCGCTGGCCAACATTTATTTAAATATACATTTCGTTTTGTTTGCTGTTTTATTGCATAATACCCTAGCAGTATAGTTTACACCTATAATAATGCTATAAAAAAAACAGTTAGCAGTAAGTCAAACAGAACAAAAACACCCGAAAAAACGAGGAAATAAATGTGGCTGACGAAAAAATATGATAATAATCCGGTTTGTGGGTGGGTCAAACTAACTGTAAATTGGTCTTGAAACGACGACGTTTAATAAATATTAAACATGATGCATGCCACAAATAACTGTTTTATTTTGTTTTTTTTTTTTTAATAATATATCGCATGCCGTTAACAATGACGAGCTTTCCGCTTTTTATTTACAAAATTTCCAAGCCTTACATAAATCGTGACCAACCACTCATCAAATTGAATGCAATTAAACGCTGCCAAACAGCATTAACTATGATTGATCAACTTATACATATATATATCAGATATATATATATATCTTTTGATGGATGTATGACAGATGCCCCAGCGATTATACGATAAAAACGTTGCGTGATTCAATGTTATTTATGAACTTCAAACGGATAATGAGCTGGTCAAAACGGTAACTGAGGATTCATCATTTTAATGGTAATGATGTCCTATATACAACTTTAATTAAATAATGAAAAGGAAGTGGAAAATTGCATTTCAAAGCTGGGAATGGTTAAATGCGAATTTTTGAATTTTTTAAAAACCTTTTACAGACTTTTGATCCATAATTTGCCAAATATATAACTTAATATAAAGTTTTCCCAGCTTTTCATCTCATAAGTTACTCATACGATCTATTGGTAGCTTATGTAAATTAGCTCTCTATTTGCCTTTTCTTGATTTTTGTAACTTTATATCGTCAGACAGATCAAAAGGCGTGACAAACTCAGATTTCCCACACGATCACGGCCCTTGCACTCTATAAATATAGAAAATTATCATTTTTTTTTACTACTTTTTTGGCATATTAAAAAGCCATTAGACGGGGAAAACAAAAAACCAGCTGAATGGCAAAACTACTAGCAATGCGAACTCTCAATGGGTCGAATTGAAATCGAAATCTGAAAAGCCAAAACAATGCGGCAGTTTCACGCGATATTTATGGCCAAAACTGTCTTCTGGTGTGTGAGTACGAGTTTTGAGTTTTGAGTACTATTTGTGTTTGCTATTGGCTTTGGTTTTTTATACACTTTTTTTTTTTGGTTTTTTATTTCCAGACTGCCTCCGGGGGCATTGGGCATTAAGACCAGAGCTGTGCATGAATGCCCGAGTGTGTAAACAAAAACCCCGAACGGCTTGAAATCGTGCTGATTAATGTTCCCTCCACTGGCGGTGTCGGTGGTGAAAATTGCAAAATAGCAAATGGCATAGGTCAGTTACACTAATTGAAATAGAATGTTTGTCGGTCAGTGGTTGCCTTTGTTGTTGTTGTTGTTTTATATCGTGGGTGCTGCTCTATATATACCAGTTTATATCGTAATACAAGACATCATACAATGTATCATCAGAGCGTGGGTAATTGTGAATGGCAAGTGCTTGGTCTTAAGTGATCATCATCATCATTTAGAAAGCATCGTTGTGGCATCAACTTCGAAACTAACACACACTTCCTTTCACTTTAGAACGCTGAGTATGGAGTTTGTAGTTTGGAGTGAAAGTAAGCGGAAAAGAGTTGGCTAAAAGTGAGAAAAACCCACGCAGAGGGGAAGTAATTGTTTTTCTTATATGAAGTTTTTTGCAAGGAGGCAATTATTTTTAAAGAACTTATAAAAGTTTTCTTCTCTTAATAAGCACTCGATTAATCAATTTGCAAGTAGGAGAGATAATCTCTACTTTTTTTCCCACTGTAGCTAAATGATTAAGATTAAGCCACGAAAAATGTTAGAACGCTCACCATGAGAGAATCATTTTAATGGTTGCTTTTTAACCTATCAATCTCAGATCTTTTTATAGCTACAAGCTACAAGCTAACTTCTAGCATCAAACTACAAGCTAACATCTAGCATTTGCATAAATTCTAGCCGCGAAAAGAAAGAAACTTTCTAAAGAAGTGAAGAGCCCCTAAAATGACATCAACAGGTGGTCAAAGACAAAAGGTAAATATATATATAAACGTAAATGCAGAGCCTAAAAGAGCTTTAGAATATGAAAAAGCTGTAAAGTCAAGCTTTTCGCCTGCAGGAGTTTAATGAAAGTCAAAGTACAGCTGATGACAGCTGAGTAGAATCACGTGGTGGAGCTTTTCTCCGAGAGAATAACTAAAGAGAGTTCCCTTTAAAAGAGAGCAAATCTGCACAAGAGAGAGAGAAAAGGATACGCATGTCCTGAAAACGTCAAAACAAGCAAAAGCTGATTATAATACGGCTTTTATGGGTATGGGTTTGTTATTGAGGCCCGTTTCCTTCACTTTTGGCCTGATTAGAAAGAGACTGTCTGCCACTCCCCTTTTGCCTTCCTTTTCGCCACGCCCCCCCTTGCGATTGCACTCAAGGGGGGAGAGAGAGACTTTAACTTTGATTGACATGATGAAGTGGCAAATGCATCTCACTTGAGACATTTGGTGGGGAATGGAAGTGGCAGTGGCGTCCCATGGCTGAGCCTCTGGCAAACAATCCGGCTGCCGGGGACCAAACTAATGAGGCGCCAGGAAGCCAGGCCAGCGAAAACAAAAACACCAACAAACCGTTCGAGCGGAGAAAGCAGAGTTCCCAACCAAGGATACAGTAGGGCCTCGGAGGAAGTGAACGAATTAACTCATTGAAAGAATGGAAGAGTTGGTAGTCTAAGATATTTAATAAACATTTGTATTTTTTATCAGATTTTAACTATTTTGTTAAAGTTTTGTTAAGTTAAAAAGTTAATATAGTTATAAAAAGTTAATATGACCTATTAAGTTTAAAAACCATTTCATTAGCTAAACTGACTAAATAATGGTTAATTAGCAATAAGCTAAAAAGATATTACCGGAAAACATCTTGAACTAATATTAATTAAAACTCAACCACGTCGTTTAAATTAAATTTAAGTTAGCTTTTAAACATGGTTTTAACGTTAATAAATACCAGTTTTATGAGGCAATTATGGTATATTAATGAAGAGATATAATGGAAGTCCTTATAAAGCACTTAAATAGTTTCCAAAAATGCTAAAGTGATATAATTAACTTTAAAATAATATAAAAAAGAGAATCCTTGAAGTAAGCCTTTTAAAGGGCTAAGATTATAGGAAACCTGCAGAGAGAATTACCAACCGAAAAACTCTTTAAAGCAACCGGAAAACCTACCGCCTCATATCTTTCAAATCCAAATCTTGTATTGAAGGTTTTTCAAAGCGAGTTTCCCAGCTTTTGTTCTACGCAAAGGTGTGTTCACTGTGTGCGAAGGCGTGCCAAGGTTAAGCGTTTGCTCAACAAAGGTGTGGCGGGGGGTACGAGTGGAGGTTTAAGGTCCGCCTCGGAGGGGGGAGTGGCACTGGTCAGGAGGGAGCGGTGGGCGGTGGGTGCAGCTTGTGCAATCAGCTGTTGCTAATGAAAAACGTCGGCGAGTTCAGCCAGGAATAAGCAAGAGTCAAAGCTTATTGATTTTCAACTGCGTAAGTTGGCCAGGAAAAAAGTTTTGTGGTAACAATGAAAGGGAGGAGGGGGGGGAGGGTAAAGGAGTTCGGTAGGGGGTAGTTAACACAATTTCATGGGAAATTCATAGAGAGATAAGAGACAGCTTAATTAATTTGCTCAACTAAATGGAAACTTACCCGGGCCTTATATTGTATGTAAATTCAATAATTGCGTAGTTTGGTTTTACTTTTCTTTTTTAATAGCTTGATGTTTTCTCCTTGTTATGTGAAAATCTCTTAGTTGTGTTATTTTTTCTTTTTATGATGGCTGTAAGTATTTCCGCTTTGAGTTAAATGCAATTATAATAGATACAATTATAAAGATGGCAATTATTTATGCACTCGCGTTTTCTTTTGCATTTTAATTACGACGTCTTTTGCATATTTGATAAAGTCGCACACAAAGCTATTTCCACCGAGGGAATCTAATTTATATATATAGAGGTATATATTATAGCTGATACAAATTAAACGCGCAAAATGGAGGCAACAATTTTGATTTGATTTGACGATGTCTAAGGTCGCCGGCAAAGACAGACACATGAAGAAAAAAAAACGCTGACAAAATAAAAACAGACATTTAGCGCTTGATTTCAACGCCCAGCGGTAGAGAGGAAAAGAGCGCAAAGTCGGGCCAGATAGGGAGCGTATTATATATATATATATATATATATATGTATGTGGCTTATCAGTGCTTATCAACACAACCGCTGATGACGCCACGAGATACAGATACAAATACAAGATACAGGCTGGACATTCAGATTCACATCCAGATGGTTGTCACATCTTGAAAAACACTCGAAATCGGTCGAAAATCGGGGCTTTAACTACTGTTTATCTTTGTGTATATATAGCAACAGCTTGGTCGACATTCGGATACACGCCGTGTATCTGTATCTCATAGTTTGCCGTGTTTGGCGCGCTGTAGAACATCTCCCGAGATTGATAAAAGCTAATGATTGATTCTCTGCCCTATATTGGCAAGGAAATTCCCCTGATGATTTTTTATTATTTTGGGTTGATTGGTGGTAAAAATAGTACTATTAGTGACTATTTTTGTTCCTTAGGCAGATGTGGATGGTATTTTATCAAACATTTTCATATTTGTTAGAAAAGAAAATTATTTCGGTATTTATAGATTAGTTTTTAATACTGATAAAATTGATTTATGGCTCTAAATTTTGATTGATAGCTTAAGTAGGGGATTTACCCTAAGAAGCTCACGTTATTTTATCTATTAATTGTATCAAGAAAAACCCCTAGTAGTTATGTTTCTCGTTTTACTTTAGCTAAAAATAGTTTATTTGCACTTTAAATTGTCGAAGAAATTTCCCTGGTCATTTTGTGTGTTTGTTGTTTATGTTATTATTGTTGTTGTTGTTGACAACCAAACAAACACCATGAACTTGAGCACACGCATAGGAAAACACACAAACACGCGCAGAGAAAAACACGGAAAGCTTCTTGATTGCACCACTGTATCTTATTTTGTTGTTGTTGTTTTCGTTGCTGATTTCCTTTGCTTGTTATATTTTTTGCACTACACCGCGATTATTATTTCGCTGAACTTTTGCATTTTCTTCAATATTTTTTTGCGAATCGCCAATTAACGATTTATTCTGAGGGGAGAGAGCACGCGTGGGAGCCCCCAAAAAAAGAGAGAGCGCCCGGAGAGAGAGCGGCGACTGCTTTTTTGGAGGTAGCAAGCAGAAGCAACTATAACAACCCACCGAGACAGCGGACGAGTGAGCGACCGCGTCGAAGTTCCGATAACGACTGAAAACAGAAACAGAAAACGGAAAACTGAAAGCAGAAATCTCAATCCGCGGCAGAGCGCAGCGGCAGCGTCAAGTACACTGAGAAAACCTTTGTTGGTAATTCCAAAGATAAAAAGATTGATCAGAATATTGTCGTTTGAATACCAAAAATTGACCGTTATGAGAGGTAAATTAGCAAGAAGCCAATATTCTACAAACCTACCACCCAAATATATGAACAAACACAATGTTAACGTACCTTGAATGTGTGAGATTAATCGCCGAACTTTTTTTCTGTGTATGAAATACGCTCGTTCACAGTTAAAATGCCTTCAGTTGTTGCTTTAGCTGCGCTCTCTTGTTGCCGTTGTTGTTGTCAATCAATTGACAAAAAGTATAGCCTTTACAGTTATATCCTCTCATCCGCTGCTCAACACACACTCTCTCTCTCTTACTCTCTCTTACTCTCAGCCGCTGTTTAGGCGCTCTCACTAAGCTAAAACAGCTGATTACGCTATGAAAAGGTAAACAGACCATTCAGCGGAGAGATATCAAAGTTTGCTTTGGCTCTCTTCTCACTTTTAGCTTTTGCTTTTGCTTTTTCGCAGCGGGGGTGTTCGGCTAATGAGCTTGCATTAAAATAGTAATTGACTAAGAAGCTGAAGAGCTAATAAGAAACAAAGCCAAGGTGGTCGGAAACGAGTTTCCAATAAGACCCTGTTGCACTTTGGTTGGCAAAGAGGTGGGTGGCTGTGGAGGATGTAGGGCGGTAAATTCACGGTGTATAGTTAACAGATTTGCCTGTCCCCAATTTCAGCCCATTTTGTCAGACACTATTTAGATACCCTTAATTGGAAAGGGTTAATCTGATATAGTAAGAAGTTTAAGTAAATTGCACTTTGGGGTTTACCAAATGAGAAAAACTCCTTCTTCAAGTTTCTTATAATTCTAATTTTAAAGATATTTTGCATTACTAACAATACAGCCAATTAAAGTTTTCTACGTTATTGATTATAATTTATTGTCTTAAGTTTAGGGCTCAATGCAAAAAATCTCAATTCCAAATTGGGAAGATAATTACAATGAAAAATTACTCTATGAAAACGAGTTCCTCTAACTTAGTCTTTACTAATATATATTGTGTAGAAAACTGATCATCAATCATCATTATCCACAAAGTTATTGAAGGTGTAATTACCATAATTTAAAGCTCATAAAAAATGGGTGTTAGAAAAAGTATTTTAGTTAGAATTTAAGGTGAAAAGCTTTTGTTTTAGTAAATAATCCTAAATACTAAATACTAAACTATAAAGTTTAACACATTTTTTCCAGAGGAAACTTTCAAAAACAGAATCACACCGGCTTTTAAGCGCTGAAAACTCTCAGCTCTCAAGGTGCTAAGTGTTTCCCATTAATCCGATACTATTTATTTCACCTTAATCACCTCCCCAATGCACCCCCATAAATCCTCTCACTTCCCCGACATAAACAGATTATACCCAAGCATTAACTTATAGTTCCCTGTCAAAGATCGAAGTTTCGAAGATCATTTAGAGTATTTCGTTTTCGTTTAGTTCATTTTCTATTTTCCGCAATTCTGGGCAAAGGCGTCAGACAAATTGCAATTGGCTCTACGCTATAAAGCACGACGAGCCCAAAAAAAAGCGCCAGTATATATATAGAGTTGGATATATATATATTCTGGTATAGGCATTATATATATACTCGTAAGTACGACACACAAACCGCAAAAGGCAACAGAAATAGATGGCAAAGAATTTCTAGTTGACTGAACACCGAATCTGGCCGCCGTGCCATCAGCCATCAGTCAGACAGTCCGACGACCTAGACCTAGATGTCAGACTCTAGATACTAGATACCAGATTGCTGACAGAACTTCAAGTTAAAGCTATGGTTAACGGAAGCTAAGCTGTTGCCTCGAAGGCGTCATAAATCTTGCGCAACGGCCCATTGGCCACGCTTCGGGGGAGGCTGGGAACAAACACTATATATCGTATATATATATATAGAAGACTGATCCCTAACCCACAATTCCGGGCCAAGACAATGGCTATTTGCATGGGTCGCATAATTATCCACCATCATTCTAATGGCAATTTGTTGTTGGCCAGTGTGCTAATGTGATTAGAGAGCGATGTGTTGAAGTTTGGAGTTCTTTCTGGCCACTTGTTGCTCAACGCTCGAGAAGACCAGAAGGAAGTCTCGAGAATCGTAAATTACTCGCTCTCTGTTTCCGCTTCTTGTTATCAGATGTGTGGGAACAAATAGAGATCTGAGGAAATGCACTTGGAAAAAAGTAACTACCTATAAAAACGCCAAAAAGTAAAGCCAAATATCATAAATAAAAACTATAACTGGTTCATTCACATGTCTTAACAAGAGAAATATACCATTTAAATTTAAAAATCTTGTTTTTTGTTGAAATGTTGGCCATATATTTAAGAAGCTTTTGGAATTTATATCAGCCATAATTTATAACCTAATACTTTATGAATAGAATGGCATTTACTTTTTGGTAAGACTGGTTTCTTTGACACCTAAGGCATTTTGACCAATTAAGACTGACTAATTTTAGTTAGTTTTTTATTAATTTTCCAACAATAAAAAGCAAGTTATGATACAATTAAACAAATAATAAAAATAATCCAGTTAAAAATCCAGTAACTTTCCTAAAACTGGAAAATGTGTTAAATTATCTATGTCGTTGCCTAATTTCAAAGACTTTAAGTCAATAGTTGACTCCAAGTCTGGTTAATGTTTTCTATTTGCTGTTTGCTTTTCCACTTGCTATCAACATTTGTATCTGCCAGAACACTTTGTTCACCGCTCAATCCAATTAAAAGCCGAAACCATCTGTCGTCGGTGCCCTAAAAAAATAGAAAAACGAGAAAAAAAACTTTGGTGGAAAGCTCCCGGTAGAACTGCCCCCGATTTGAGTCAAGTGTTATTTTCGGGTGCTTTGTGTGCGCCACAATTATACGACAATTATAAATAAATGCTTAATACCTTTATCTACCCAGCGACGTAAGTTAGCCCAGTTTAGAAGGTGTCGTAGTCAGCGTATATCTTTTTGTTTTCAAAAGGTATCTGTATCTGTATCTGGACAGCGGCCAAGATTTACGAGCTATACATGGTGGATTCCGATGGTGAGTGCGTCATTTTCCTGGGTTATTGGCATCTCGGAACTAACTGTTTTCAGAGCGATCATTGCCTCTCACCTTTCGGCCGGCTATTGCACTCAATTACCAGGTGGCAGAAGGAGGGGAAAAATGGAAATGGAACTGTACTACACATATGAAAACCCGTTTCTTTTTTACCTCCCAGCTAGTAGCCAGCCCTCAACATCTTCTGTCGGCACTTGGTCTAGATACATGCGAAAAAAGCGCTAAAAAAGATACAAGATAATGTTCTCTCGCAGACAAATACAGATACGTTGAACTGAATCTTAGCAATAAAACAAGAACAAATACTAGCTGTGAACTGAATTTTTTTTGAATCCCCAAAAAAAATCCATCTGACGGGGCAATTTGGAATGTCAAAGTTGACAACTGTATGGCAAGTGGAAAACTTTGAGACTTATTTGCCTGCAGCGCGTCATGTGAAAATGGATTTTCAGTATTTTCGCGTTATTGTGGCATCATTTTTAAGGTCCAACATGCTTGGGTTGCATGTGTGGCAGAGCTTTGTTGATGGATACCCTATGAATTGCACAAAAAGGTATTTCGATTATGTTGCACTTACAAGCAAGAATAAGTGATTAAGTTAAGTGTTTAATGATTAACTATTATATAAAAGGAACACTCTTAGTTAACTGGCAAATTGAAAGGGTAAGCTTAATGAACTGGTTGGTTGACCAAGCTAGTGGAACCACTTGTTAAGCCGATTACTTAAGACAAAGTCAAAGAGTTGGACAGGCAAGTTGAAAGTTGAACTGGACACGTAAACAGGAATGTTGAACAGGAAAAATTAAACCGGGAAAGTTTTCAAAAAATGTTGAAATTTTAACAAACTTACAGAGAAATTCATGATTTGGCAAAAAAGATGCTTAAATCAGGAAATAAGTTTGGCTAACCTCTGCAACTTAATGAGGAAAATACATATTTAATATAATACTAATAAAGATTTTTAAGATCTCACTTTAAGGGCCAAAAAATCTAAGCCCAAAACCGCAAGGCCAAAGTGTTAAATAGTTTTTCATCGTCTTTTGTGATCTGAATTAACAAAAGGGCTTAGAAAAAACCTCTGCCAAGTACATTTCTTGGAACAATTGAAAATTCGTTCAACTAGCAATTTGTGGCAACTTAGAGCCTCCAATCTCAGGGCAAGCATCTTACAGCTCGCAGAGCATCTAGCATTCGATTGCCACAAAACCAACCAACCATCCGTACTCTTTATAAGGCTTTTGCACGCGAGCCAAGACGAACCAGACGCTGATGAATATCATCATCATCATTATCATCATCATGTAATACCCGAGAAATGTGTAACGATGAGGCAATGCCAGCTGGAGTTGGATTATGATAGGCTGGTGTACAGGCTGAGACTCTGGCTCATAAAAATTGACAATGCTAATGGGGCGGCGGAAATCGGGCATTATAACCCCAGTCGTAATTTGCATAAGAAATCGTCTGGGATTCGGGATGCACAATCAGATGCCCAGACACGTTCTCCGAGTACGTGGATGCCTAGTACTCTGGGCGGCTTAAATGGTAGAGGAGGTATATAGAACCGATCTCTTGACCGCTTGCAGCTTATAACGGGGTTCCACAAAGTTGCATGACAGCCGGGCGGAGAAAGGCCGTTGCAACGAAAAAAAAAATCAAAATAAAGAGAAAAGAAATGATATGCAACCGAAATTTCTTCCTGCCCAGTCTGGCAAATAAAAAAAAAACTGCAAAACTGGTCCACCGTGACCCACTAAGGCCTCTCTTTACTTTTTACTCGAAAATCAGCCACCGAAAGCTGAGTTTAACACCAACATTGGGCAAGAGGTTTAAACGGACCCGCTCTCTTTTCATTCTCCTCTTCTTTTTTGTTTTTAAGGTGGAGCTTCCGTGAGTCACGTTTTTTGATTTCCTGTAATTGCTTTTAAAATACCTCGAGAACTCATCGCATTTATATTTAGACCATGTGTTAAGGCCTTCTTTTGTGGCAACTTTCACTTTGCTGGAAAAAATGTTAAGCGAAGGAGGAAGTTAAGATTCTTATGAAAAAGTTTATTATTATTATTTAATGGGTTTTTAATTTTTATGAATTTACAACTGTTTTATAAGGGTTAATAGCTATGGCCCAATGCGTTTTCGGCCAACTAAACAAGATCAACAAAAAAAAAGACAACAATAAAATACGGCTGGCATGGCTTCATTGGTTTTGCGGTTAAAATGTTGCAACAAGAACAGACAAAGCCACAAAACTTGGCCAGCAAAGAAAAACAGAGTAACATGAAATAGTTTAAAGTCGAAGCTTTACATACACTTGGCCTAAATACAGGAAATATTTATTTTTGAAGAGTGAAATGATTAAATAAATCACCATTAAAGTGATATCAATGGGTAAGCCCTTAGGATAAGAATAAACTTCAAGTTTCTTAAGTAGGATTTAAAGAATCTTCTTATTACCTCAAAAGACTAGCTGTAAAATCTGATGCTCCCATTTCCTTAGACTCACTTAAAAGAACCTATCAAAAACTCATAATCATTGCTTCACCCACTTTTGGCCAGACTTAATAATAGCCCAGTTAAACCATTATCAAAAAACCGCCAAAGCGACACAAAACTGGCGAATCTATAAAAATGCAAATTAGAAGAAGCGAAAAAATAACACAATAAACGTCTCTAGGAACTGGAACGAACTAAGACTGAGTCTCAGACTCCAAGACTACAGCTCCAACTCCAACTCTGATTTGAAATTAGATCGAGGGGCCGCAGATAAACGTTATTCGTGCTATTGCCTCTGGGGGCGACTACGCAAAAGCGTTGGCGATCCGATCCCACTGTGATCTATGGTTTTGGCCAGCCCAATTGGTCAAGAAGCAATTTGGGTTAACTGCAGCTGCAACACCGCTGACGATCTGGAAACTCTGGCCAATTAATTGTGCGGAAATCTCCGAGGCGCGTCATAAAATACTGTCGCTTTTTCATCTCTCTTTCAGCACTCCCATCTACGATGGGAACTTGCTCCTCTTGGTTAGGTATCTTGCTGTTATTTGCTTTTGCACCTGCAACATAAACAATGCAAAGATTCACGGAGAAAAATTATTATGATTAATTATTCAATTTATTACTTGAGTTAGAAGTAAGAAAGTGTCTTCGGGGGGGTTGGTGTCTTAAAAAGCTTAAAAGCCTAAAGTTCTTCATCACGAAACATCTTTCAAAACTAAATTTGCATGAAATACAGCAAAGTTTTAAAATTACAAAATAAAAATTCTTTTTGCTTTAATTTAAATAGAAATCATAAAAACAACCTTGTTTGCAAAAACTGATGATGTTTCAAAAATGAAAAAATTTGTTACTCCCCCTTTTCTCCTCAAGATGGCAGTATTATGTCCATAACTAAGCCAAAAATGGCCCAAATATGAAGTGTCATACCTCGATAAGCTTGTTTTATTATTCTAAATAAACCTACATTTAAAAGTAAAAAACCAATCTTTTTGATATTTTTCGCAGAAAAAAACAATATTTTTAAAAACCTGTCAAGTTGGCCCAAAAATGTAATTTTCAAAATCAGTCTGAAAGTGATATGAATAGTTAGATTTGGTCGTTAGCAGCAAAAAACAGTCATAATAAACTATATATTATCATTATTTATACCTAACTTAAGGCTACGTCTAAATTATAGTTATCAGTCCTTACCAATAATTGGATTATCTTTCATCTAATGGTAGCTGCAATATTGTTGATATTAGAAAGGGGAACTGTCCCCTGAATATTCAAATCAAAATTGACATCCCCCATCAATATGAAAAATTGAATATTCATAGGAAAATCTGAAAATCGATGTAACTGTGATGGCTCAATGATGTTGTTAGACCTGTTGTCTTGCCTCTTTTTTTCTGGCTGTGTAGCTGGCTGGAGGCATTCTTGCGTGCAAACCTTGACCATGAAACACGCTCAGCGGTGAGATGACGTGCCCATAAAAGTGGTCAGCGAACAATTCCAAACATTTTCCTGGCAATTAAGAGCCAAAGAAAATTAGTTAGAAATTGAAATTGCTTAACTGCCTGGGCTAACCACGTTTTGCGATCACGTTTACACCGGTGGGACGATGGTCAATGGCATTCGCTTGAGAGCCTGCTGCAGGTTGTGCAAGCCAACTTGTGCGACAGTTACATCTATATACGTATGCGCCACAAATAACTGGTTTTATAACCAAAAAAAAGTGTGTATATATATATATATAAACAAAATAATAATAAACAAAGCAAAAACACCGTTTTGGACCGGCCTCCAAGGCACGCTAGCCAAATGGAGCCATTGCCGGTCTGTCAATTAGCAACCGGAGCGACATGACAGTGCACTGAACTTGTTACGCTTAAATTGTTGATAAGCCCGCCGTTTATTACCTGTTAATGTCCACTGGCCACATGCGACACTCGAAAATGTGGCAATAGCACGGTTTTCGACATTAACCCATTTTCTGGGCCAGTTCTGAAGAATGTCTAAGTTCCGGTTTATTAGTTGTTTATATTTTACTTTTCCTTATCAAATACGTGTTGCAGAGTCAGGTTCTTGATGGTTTTAATTAGCCATAATCAATTACTATTTAACTGTTAAATTTGTTAACATATTTAATTTAAATATTTTTGATGAAAGAGGTTATTGATTAGTAACTCAATTTGTTGATTCGCTGCACTAGACTTTGCAGGAAGGTCGCATTAAACATTACAGAATTTCGGTTATGTTTTAATAATAGAATTTTTAAAGAATTTTATTGCTTTAAGAATTATTTGTAATTTGACGATAGTTAATACTAAGTTAAAATAAGGATACTATTTTTTTAATAATTAACTCTTAAAGTTTTAAATATTTTTTATATATATTTCTTAAAAAAAGACAGGCATTATTCTTTAATATCTCTAATTAAATTATTTTCCCTACAAAAAATGGCACATAGTTTCCTATTTTTATACTATTGTAAAGTAAACCCTAGACTAGTACACATTCCTAGAGAATAGCAGTTATTAATAATATAAACAAACAACTTATTTTACATAGTATATTTTTATTCCAAACCCCCCTTATCACAGACGGTTAAGCACTTTATACGTTCAGTATGATTAGAGATTACAGATATATGGCACTGTGAATGTATTTCTTTTTTTCGGAGAGTAATTGCTCTTTTTAGGGTGGGAGAAATGGGAGAGAAAGAATCAAAAACATTTATATATATAGTAGAGAGGATACATGTATATATATTTGTAGATGTGACCGATGCGGGTGATTGTTTGTATTGAGCGGCGCATGTGAACTGGGCAAATCGAAAAGAGCAGTTGTGTTTGGTTTGCGAGGCTGCCAAGAGCGGAAAAACAAACGCGGACGATGAATAAAATATTTGGAATATTTTGTTCACTACTGTGCCTGCTTCTCTTTTGGCCAACCTCCGGATATGCACAGTCCCCGGATGATTCCAAACTCCTAGTAGCTGTCCACTATGAGGCCCTGTGTCCAGATAGCATGAACTTCATCCGGCGGCGACTTTACGATGCTCTGGAGGATAATAACTGGTGGACTGTAACCAATCTAAAGCTATATCCATTTGGGAAAGCGGGGGTGAGTCAACAGTAGGGGAAATATCATTATATTCTATGTTTAAAAAGAGACAACGTGGTTTATATAGTCTAATAAACTAAACATTAAAATCGAACTAGTCAAGTCATAAAACTAACACATACCAGTGTACATATTTCTTTCTATAAAAACAAAGCAGCAAAGCCTTATCTAAGTTTAGTTACAGTTCTAGCCGTGACTAAATACTTAATAATCAGAATATATAATCAGAAAGTATGGCTCATCATAATAACAATAATTTTTCAGTTCTACAACAATACTTCCACTGGAAAAAGAGAAGTTTACTGCCAGCATGGCGTTGATGAGTGCGAACTGAATGCCCTGCATGCCTGTATTATCGAGACACAGGGTATTCGAAAGGCCTTTCACCTGATCTATTGCATGCTGAGATCCTACTCAGATGACTTGGATCGATGCTCCAAGAGCATGGGAGTGGATGTGACCGAGGCCAGGCAATGTAAAAATACCCGTACGACACCGGCAATCTTGGCACCCTATGGCAGGGAAACCCTCAAGCTGGGCATCTCTTTTGTGCCCACCATTGTGTTCGAGAATGTGAGTAACTAACTTTACTAATTACTACTAATTGTAAACTAATTCATAACCTCATTCCCAGGATTTTGATCCCTACAACCAGAGAAGCATTCGCAATAACTTTGAAAGACACTTCTGCCGGGAGTACTTGAAAAAGTTCAACATCAAACTGCCTACGTGTTCTGGAATTTTGTAAAAGTCAAATTTTTTTTGTTTTTTATATGCCAAGACCAATAAAAAACTAGTAACTAGCTGGAATTTGTAGTGACTAATATTAGGTGAATGAAAACTTTAGTTTATCCCCTTATCAGTCAGATTTTTGTGTACAGATTCTGAGCAAAAACAGCTGTCTGGGCTGGCTAAGCACTCGTACAAGATTAAAAGCCCGTTGGTCGGTAATTGCCCACTGTGTTTCCGTAATCAGCTGAGGTTTTCGCTGTTTGGGCTTTGTTTTGGACACTCGAATCACACGAAACCACGGGGGAAATGAACGCCAACAGCAGGGGCGCCGACCACAGGGGAGCGACTGGAAGAAAGAAAGAAAAAAAGGGGAAAACCTTTTTCCCAGAGGGAACTAATCGTAAATATATATTTCAGTTCCTCATTTCGCTTTTATTTCGCTTGCATATTAACCCAAAGTAGCAGTTAAATGCCAACGGCTAATGACCCCCCTCTATTGATATTTATATTTGCATTTAATGCTTTGATTTGAGCAATAAATAATCATTGATTTATGCTCAGAATAATACAAGAATTATTGCCAAATGACAATCAAAGAAGACATAAAACTGTGAAGCTTTTTTAATATCCAATACACAGCGGAAAATTAAAAGTGTTGAAAATGTAAATATAATTATAAGGATTTATATCTTAATAAACCTGATAATATGAATGATTTCATTGCCTTCTCTAAAGCAATCTTTGAAATAATATAAAAAAAAAATTAAAAAAAACTTTTTAAGCCCCCTCCCTTTATATCATGACTACGCCACTGACCCCATTTAAATCATACAAAACAACCCTGTTCAAAAGTCCAGACTTTATTCCAGTGTCAAGCGCTCTCGCTGGCGTTTATCGGCTAAATATTTCAAGATCAGCTTAGAATCAAATTGAATTCGCCATGGGGAGGTTTATCAATGTTTGCCTTCTGCTACTGGGATTGGTGGGCGTGGCAAGGACGACGGTAAGTGACCCAGTTGGGCATTGATATGTAGGATTAATTCATTGATCGTGACTTTGCAGAAATTTTATACACCACAAGCTGATCGACTGCCCGTCAACTTGTACTACGAGACATTGTGTCCTTATTGCAAAGAATTCGTCACCAAACAACTAGATTATTCGATGTTCCTGCGGGAACGGCTGCAACACTCGGATCTTACGCTAGTTCCCTACGGAAATGCTGTGGTATGATTGCATGATAACCTGTTTTCATGATAATTAGTTAGTTGATTTTGTTCGTAAAAAATAATTATTCTTATATTGCTAGCTTGTTACAAGCTTCTATCATTCGATCTCTGTGAGATATATATGGAAGTTTTGTAGGGCTTCCACAATTTTATGACCTTGAAACCTGAAAGAAAGAACCTTTACACTGAGTTTGAAATGTATCCTAAAAATAATCTCTTGAAGTCTCCTAAAACCAAAATATAGTTATTAGCTCATAACTAGTTCCTGCTCAGATTAACCTGCTCAGATTGTAAATTAATAATAACCATCATCCTTAATCCGTATTTAAACCGCACTTAAACCTGCCAGATCGACGCCAATGGAAATGTGGAGTGCCAGCACGGAGTGGATGAGTGCGAGTTAAACGCCTGGCACGCCTGCATACTGGAGCATCATGACATATACATATCCTTGAAGTTGATTTCATGCATGATGCAAAACAAACATAACTCCCTGGACTTTTGCTCTTCACCAATGAATATCAATGTCACCGATGTTAAAAACTGCAAAAACACCAGAAAAACGAGTGATATTCTCAAAAAGTACGCCGAGGAAACGGCCAAGGTGAAATTTAGCGGAGTACCAGCCGTGTTTATCAATAACGTAAGTTCAGTTAATAAAACATATATATCTTAATTATCTTAAATTCCTATATATATTTTAAGGAGCGACCAGAAAATGCAACCGAAGATTTCGATAAAGCTTTTTGCGACGCTTATCTAAAAAAGTTTAACAAACTACTGTATAAGTGTTAGTTTGAACTGCGAAGAGAGACAAATATTGGAAAGAAAAATGTAGTTATTTTATTCATGAAAAAATGCATTGTAAATGAAATGTAATAAATTGGTTTAGAAATTGGTATACAAATAACTACTACTTTAAAGCACATTGTCTGATAAATATTAGGTAGGAAACCAAAGCGGAAAATATGTGACGATGGACCCTCAATTCGTTTAGATTAAGTTGAGTGAAGAACACTTCCATCTAAGACCAATGATATTAAGCTAAGCAATGTTTTAACTATTATTAATATAACCTGCCAAAGTAGCTCATTTCAAAATTGATTTTCCGAAGGCCTTTAAATTGAACGATGGCTCGTTGGACAGCCAATATTAAAAGGAGAAAATCGAGAATGATTTCTAGTAGCATAAACCACATCCAGAAATCGTAGTGAGATGGAGTATTATTTTCTTTGGGGTCAGTGCTGCATAGAAAATAAGTGCATCAGGCAAAGGCATAGGCTCAAATTGAACAGCTCACTCAAACAACCAAACTCAGGATTTGGCTTAGAATTGTTAGAAGCTGCTCTCATTTTGTAAAGAGTTTCTTTTAAACTGAAGTAGAAAAGTATTTGTATTTTTCGAACTTTCTTACAGTTAATGGAATTATTGATCTTTCAGTTGAGCAGCAAGCGGAAATAGATTATTTGAATATAATAGATGGCCTCTTATGTATTTGCATAGTGAAGCAGCGTATAATTAGCACTTCTATTTAAAATAGTATTACATTATTGTTTTAAATTTTTATATATATTTTTTGTAAATTTAAATTTGGCGCTAAATTGGCGCCATCTATGTCGGGTTTTCGGAGTCTTTGATTTACTTTAGTATTTTTCCACCCGGTGGAATACCGCAATAGGCTTTGTACACTGCCGCTTAAGAGTGATGTTCTTAATATGTAATAGAAATACATGGAATAATAACGAAATGAATGAATGGGTTAAATTTATTAGCTAATGCATGAAAAATATAATTAAATGATAATGATTAAATTTATTTGTGTTTTTTCACGACATTTACTTCTTCTGGCAAAAACGATTGTTTGAATACAGAGCCAGTGTGAAAAGCTTTTAAATACCAAACCATCGTTAACTAATATCGATTAAAGGTAAAGCGATCTGGTAGCACTGTTACAAAGAAACGGTCCCACTGGCCTAGATTCGCAACACGCGACGATACAATTTTCCACAATTCTTTGTTGATTTCTGGAAAATCGCTGAATATAGACCGAATATCAGAGTGCTGAACGAGCAACCGGAAAAAGCGCGAGATGAGCGAGACCATAAACACCGCGGCGCAGTTCCCGACCTTCGAGAAACCGACCGTGCAGTTCAACGAGAAGGGATGGGGTCCCTGCGAGCTGCCTGATACCTTCAAGGATGTGCCGTACCAGCCATTTAGCAAGAACGATCGTTTGGGCAAGATCTGTGACTGGACAAACACCTCGAACAACGACAAGAAGTACCAGAGTAAGTAGTTGTTACCAAATCCCACAGACCTACGAACTTTTCGCCGAAAGTGAGGTTATGTGGGTGTGTCGTGGCAATATGGGTAATATAATTGTCATTTCTTCCCCCCACAGACAAGTACGCCTCCAGTTTTGGCACGGGCAACCAGTACTCGTACTACCATGAAGAGGACGAAACCACCTTCCACCTGGTGGACACAGCCCGTGTCCAGAAGCCGCCGCACCAGCGCGGCAGGTTCCGCAACATGAGAAACTCGCGTTCTGGACGCGGCAGGAATGCCCGGGGTGGCCTCAATACCCATGGCATGACCACGCTCAGTGGCAAGAACGTGAAGGCCCGAGATCCGCGTCATGGTCGCGGCATGGGCAAGAAGTTCGGACACCGCGGACCACCACCCAAGATGCGCGAATCCTCGGTGGCCGTTCGCGCCGACTGGGCATCCATTGAGGAGATGGACTTCCCGCGTCTCATTAAGCTATCGCTCCCCAATATCAAGGAGGGCGTCGATATCGTCACCTGTGGAACCTTGGAGTACTACGACAAGACCTACGATCGCATCAACGTGAAGAACGAGAAGCCACTGCAGAAGATCGACCGCATCGTGCACACGGTGACCACCACAGACGATCCCGTCATCCGGCGATTGTCCAAGACCGTCGGCAACGTCTTCGCCACGGACGCCATCCTGGCCACTATTATGTGCTCTACGCGATCGAACTACTCATGGGACATTGTCATCGAGAAAGTCGGTAAGTTTATTAGATATGTAGAAAGGTAGAAAGTTACTTAGTAGAGTAAAAAGTACTTATAGTTTACTGAAAAGATATATTAAAATCAAAACTGTAAATCTTTTTAGGCGACAAGATCTTCATGGACAAGCGCGACCACACCGAGTTTGACCTCCTGACCGTGAACGAGAGCAGCGTGGAACCCCCGACCGACGACGACAGCTCATGCAACTCGCCCCGCAACTTGGCCATAGAAGCAACTTTCATCAACCACAACTTCAGCCAGCAGGTATTGAAGACTGGCGATCAGGAGGCCAAGTTTAAGTTTGAAGAGGCCAATCCGTTTATCACCGAAGACGAAGACATCCAAGTAGCCAGCGTGGGCTATCGCTACAAGAAGTGGGAGCTGGGAAGCGATATTGTGAGTTTTGAAAAACAAAATTTAATGTGCACAAAATTAACATAACCTTTGTCATCCCACTGATAAGAATTTGGGAAATTCCGTTTCAAGTCTTTAAATAGAACGCCATGTCACTGTTTACATACATATATATAATGTTGACTAAGTAAAACTAACCATTTTACTTTTTATCTCCTTAAGGTTCTGGTGGCGCGTTGCGAGCACGATGGTGTTTTGCAGACTCCCAGCGGCGAGCCGCAGTTTATGTCGATCAAGGCCCTTAACGAATGGGACTCCAAGCTGGCCAACGGAGTGGAGTGGCGACAGAAGTTGGACACACAACGCGGAGCCGTGTTGGCCAACGAACTGAGGAACAACGCATGCAAGCTGGCCAAGTGGACCGTGCAAGCCGTCCTGGCTGGTTCGGATCAATTAAAACTGGGTTATGTTTCGCGTATTAACCCGAGGGACCACTCGCGCCATGTCATCCTCGGAACACAGCAGTTCAAGCCGCATGAGTTTGCCACCCAGATCAATCTTAGCATGGACAACGCATGGGGAGTTTTGCGGTGTATTATCGATCTGGTGATGAAACAGAAGGATGGCAAATACCTTATCATGAAGGACCCGAACAAGCCGATCATTCGTTTGTACGACATCCCAGACAACACATTCGACTCCGATGATTCGGACGATGGCGAGGGCGATGACGAAGGATTCCAGCAGGTCTACAACTACGCACACAACAAGATTTAGACGCCACGCCCCCTGAATTCAGCATCCCTTCCAGTCGTGGGCTTGAGCCACAACCCGCTAAACATAACCACAACTGATGTCCTCTGAAGGAAACGGTCATTTGGATGGCCTTAGCTTAAGCATTTGTATTCGATTTAAATTCAGCTATTTCCTAGTAAATCACAGAGGGCGAATCAAGATATGGTCTTTATTTTGGTCAAAGTCGAATGAAGGGTATACTTATCGTCTCGTTAAAAAGTCTTGGCTTATCAGAATGAGTAAATCATTTTTGGCTTTGGACTTCTGTGGTTCAGTTTAAACTTAGTCTCAGCTTCAACTCCAGCAGTGCAAGATGTTCTTATTTCAAGTTTATTCTTCGCTCCTACTTCCTGCTTGTCTTCTCGCGAACTCTTTTGCATCCGGTAACTATAACTTTAACAGGAGCTGTTTTAATTTTTCTATTAGCTTTTATTAAAATAACACTGATTGTCAAGGAGTAATCTATGCCATCAGTGATAGACTTTCTAGAATCTTAGTTTTACATATTTTTTTAATATTATTTTGGCCAGCATTTTCGGCATGTCCAAAGGAAGAGACATGCATGAGATTAATAGATTGTATCCCACTAATGAGCTTTGTGAAGCTGATTGGTATGACCGATACCGAGAAAAGAATGGTAGGGGAGCGGAAGTGCGGCGAAGACCGTAGGACGTCGGAATTGTTGAGAAGGTTTTATGTCTGCTGCCCGGGAAGAGGGTTTCGTCCTGCCAAGTAACCAAACTTGCGGGCAAACCGAAGCTGTTAATCGAATTGTTGGCGGCACAGAAGCTCCCCTCAATGCCTATCCTTGGATGGCGTTGCTACTATACAATGATGAAGGAACGCAGAATACCAAACTTATACCCAAGTGCGCAGGATCTCTTATCACAAATCGATTTGTGTTGACCGCAGGTCACTGTTTAAACCTAATAGGCTTCAATCTTATAAGCGTCCGCCTTGGCGAGCACAACATCGACACACAGCCCGACTGCATTAAGCTGATGCATGGAGATATAAAGTGTGCTGCAATGCATCTGGAAATAAACATAGTGGGGAAAGCCAGGCATGTACACGATATCGCTTTGCTGAAACTCGAATTTCCGGTACGGTGAGTAATGCCTTTAAGCTTTGCCTTTGACATTCTTCCATCTGTTTAATTCTGTAGCTATACCGATGAAATAAGACCAATTTGTGTACTGTCCAGCTATCCTTCATCGAATCCCTCCTTTGAAAATCAAAATTTTGAAATAGCTGGCTGGGGCTGGACTGAGAAGCATGAAATGAGTGATGTCTTATTAAAAGCCAATATCGTTGGAAGACACCCGAATGATTGCTCAGTGCTAAGACTCAACAATGAGACCGAAATATGCGCCGGTGGCCAAAAAGGTAGAGACACCTGTAGTAAAGACTCTGGCAGCCCACTGATGGCCACAATGGGAAGAGGCGCAGACGAATTCGTATACCTAGCCGGAATTACTTCTTATGGTTTTAATGCGTGTGGAAGTGGACCAGCTGTGTACTTAAAAACTTACAAATTTTACGAATGGATACGAATCCGTATGTTTAACTTATAAGTAATATTAATAAAAAAAAACATTTTTGAATGAAATAAAATAAAATTTAATATTTTTGAAGATGAGTTGGCTTATCTAATAATCTAATCTAATAATCTTATCTAATAATCTAATCTAATAATATAAATATTATTTATGATTTTATATTTATTATTTATATAAATTTTATAATATACAATATATATAACTAATTATTCTATTTATTTATAATTTATTATATTTCTATGCGTCATTAAAATGATATCAAGCTTTGCATGGGATTTCCCAATTATAAAAACCAGCTCCGAGCATTAAAATTGGGATTTAGTCTTTATTTGAAATTCGTGCATGTAAAATGTTCCTCGGAAAGAAAATGTATATGATCCTTCTGTTTCAAGTTATTCTCTTTGCGTATTCGACTGAAGCTGGTAAATATAACAAGAATACATCTAATTGTAACAGAGGTCGTTGAGCGTTGATAGTCCTCATACTTGATAAGAGTTCGGAGATTTAAACTAAAGATAGTTAATATTTAGAAAAAAGTGAGCCCCCTAATTTCTTGGCATAGAATTTTCATCTACTTCTCAAAGAGAACTAACTAAAATCTACAAAAAAATGGTTGACATCAATCGACGCCCCCAAAATAACACTCCTTTAAGAATGATTTTAAAAATGAAATCTTTAATTCTTATCTTTAGGGGTTTTTCCGACTTGTCAACAAAATGAGAAATGCGGCAGATTAATTGATTGTCCGCCTCTTATGAGCATTTTGAAGCCCTGGGGTATGACGGCGGAAGAGAAAATATTATTAAAGCACCAACAGTGCGGATTTAAGCGAAGTCATAGCGCAGCACTCTTCAATGTTTACGTTTGCTGTCCGGAGAATGATGGAGTCCTGATAGAAAGGATCAAAAACCTTTAAAGATTACTCTACATATTGACATTATCAATTAAATAACATACAAAATTATTAATTTACCAAAAAAACATCTAACAAATAAAATAATTCTTTTCTAAACAATGTCATTAGAACTTGTTTGCTTACAACCTCCACTTCGAGTGTTATCTTGTGGTTCATTTGGTTAAGTTTGGAAATGACCTGCTGAGAATTAACTGGGGCCTTGAAGTAATCTATCTTTACATTGGTTAACTTTAAAAGAAGTATTCCCATTATTATAAGCTTTTTTTTACACGTCTTTTTTTGAGCAGAATTTCCGGCTTGTCAGGAGGATGAGAAGTGCGTCAGTTTGATAGATTGTCAACCACTAGTAAGAACGTTAAATCTCTGGCGTATGACGGTTTCCGAGAGAAATATGTTAAGGGAGAGGCAGTGCGGCTATGATAACAACAGGGCCATGTTAATTGAGAGGATATTGGTGTGTTGCCCCCAAAGCGGTAACATCCTGCCAAATCAGATGATTTGTGGACAAAGTCCGGCCGTTTTTCGACTATCGAATGATAAAGAGGCGGAACTTAATCAGTTTCCCTGGATGGCTCTGCTATTGTACAGGAATCGTTTGACATTAGAGCACGATCAAAGTACCTTGTGTGCTGGTTCCCTGATTAACAATCGATACGTGCTAACTGCCGCCAACTGTGTGATCAGAGCTGAACTGATTAAAAATGATTTAGTGGTAAAGGGAGTGCGCCTGGGCGAACATGATAGGGCCACTAATCCCGACTGCATCACTCATAGGAATGGATGGCATATGTGTGCTCCACCCCCTCTTGAAGTCAACGTGGAGCATATTACAGTTCATCAGTACTTCAAGGAAATCAACAGGACATACTATAATGATATCGCTTTGTTGCGACTCCACATGCCAGTAAGGTGAGTTATGAATGCCCAAATCACAGAAGTTATTTTATTATTAAATATAATTATTACCAACACCTTAGATATACGAAGGAGATCCAACCGCTTTGTCTTCTTAGGGAGAATTCCCAACCTAGAGCCTTTGGCTTGGAATTAGCCGGCTGGGGGCTAAGTGAAAGCCAACCTGCTCTGCAGAAGCTATCGTACGCTCTGTTAAAGGAATGGCATCCTCATGCTTGCTCTAAAAGTTATCCAGCCTTCCATCATGTGATCCAACTGTGTGCCGCTGGTAAGGATAGACATGACACCTGTGTGGCCACCCCCGGTAGTCCATTAATTGGCACGATGGGTCGTGGCTTCGACGAATATCGCTTCGTAGAGGGTATAGCATCATATGTCCAACCGATATGTGGTTCTGGTAGACCAGATGTCTACACAAGAACTGCACATTATATGAAATGGATAATATATAATTTAAGGCCTTAAATGTTTAAAAAGAAATCATAAAAGTATTTTTGGTTTTACAAGAAGATTTAGAACCTCTTAATTATAAATGTAGAATTAAATTGAAATTTAGAACTTAAATCAAACCTAATATTTCATTGGGACCTATTGAAAATTTTCAAATTCTTTAAAAAATATCGGTATATATAATATTATTAGTTTAAGTCTCTAATTAATAAAAAAACAAGAGGAAACGATATAGTCGAGTGCCGCGACTATAAGATACCCATTACTGTTTTACACAATTTTAAAATATTCATTTTGCTAGTGGAAATTCCCATAGATATTGACCAAAATGTGATATACAAGGTCAAACACGGTTTTCTTCGGTTTGTGGGCGTTAGAGTGGGCGAGGCAGTATGCTGTAATAAACTTGCGCTGCGTAGGGACCTCAAGAATCTTCATGGTTAATCTCAACTTTGTATCTCTTATAGTTCCTGAGATCTCAGCGTTCATACGGACAGACGGACAGATGGACAGACGGACGGACAGAGGGACATGGCTCAATCGACTTCGCTATTGATCCTGATCAAGAATATATATATTTTATAGGGTCGGAAACGCTTCCTTTTACCTGTTACATACTTTTCAACGAATCTAGTATACCCTTTTACTCAACGAGTAACGGGTATAAAAATATTTTCAAGCCAGTCTTAGTAGAAATATTACTCATATAAATAAATTACTATGAGTTTAATTAACAAAGTATTGAAAATAATAAAAATAATAGTAGATAAAGATAATAAAAAAATAACACATATTTTGTACATTGTAAAAAAAATAGTTTACAAAAATGTATTAATGATATAAATTATCGTTGCTGGAAAGTTTATTATTTGTTTACAAATAAAACTGATGACTGTATCAAGAAATGACATACAACCACAAAAATGAAGTTCCAAAAAAATTATTGGTAAAAAATACTTTTCATTTATCATAATTATAATTCATAACTATAAGTGTTTGCTTATATAAATATATCTATCATATAAAATTAAACTGAGTGATGAATTAATATTGTCTCCCAATACTTTGTATGAATTAAAATTGCAAAATATATTCCATTAATGGTAACCACTTCTAGGTATAGGCACTAAAAGTTAATCGCTCGAACTTAGCCATGTGAAAAACGCGATGTGAAAATATCAATCTCTATCATATCATAAGTTTCTACAGAGAAAAACCGGTTGCGAGAAGATTGAATCGAGGTGAATTAATTCTAGTTGATCTCTCAATAGTGAATGGAATCCCCGCTATGGTAATGTGAAAATCTTGGAAAGTCCAACCCATTCAACAGATCATTTGTAATCTGGATCGCATTTGGCGACCCATTGCCATTGAAGTCCAGAGATAACCTCATGCTAATCGCATCCAATGCAGCGGTAGCGTAGTGGGTTTGAGGTAACAAGCTCCCAGAGAGCTTTGTTAGTATCAACTTCGAGCCCGTAGCGACGAAATGGCCACAATCGATCGGAATTTTCTAGTGCTAGCGCTGGTGGTCAGTGCATTATCCGGATTGGTACACAGAACAGGTGGGTTATCTATCCTTGGGATTTAATTTCGTTTAAATGGAAGGTCTATAATTCCTTAACGATAAAAAGTATTTTAAAAAGATAAATGAAAGCTTAAAATAAAGCTTAAAAATACTGAAAGTTAACATCGGGTCCTTATGCAACATCGAGTCTTTTTGAAAACATTAAATATGAATATATTTTAAATAATAAACCTTTTTTTTAACATAATTTATATGTACAGTAGAGCTAGATTGCATATATTATTGAAGTTAATCATTAGCAATATCTAACTAACATTGCTTGAGAACCGGTTAAACTGCATCGTAAATTGTGCTCTTCCCATTCAGACGCGGCGGATATCACTTTCGGGGCCTGTAAGCCTCAGCAAAGTGATGAGCACGGGCAGTGCGTCCATATTACCAGTTGCCCCAGCCTGGCCAATCTGCTGATGATGGAGCCGAAGACTCCAGCCCAGCGCATGTTACTCTCCAAGAGCCAATGTGGTTTGGACAATCGGGTGGAGGGTCTGGTCAATCGCATCCTAGTCTGCTGCCCGCAGAGTCAGCGATCCAGTATTGATGCCGCGGAAGTTAAGTCTACGCCAGAGGAAGATCATCAGCCGGGAAACGTCCTGCCAGGTAGTGATGTCTGCGGATTCCTTTTTGATGACCGCATTTTTGGTGGCACTAACACAAGCCTCTGGGAATTTCCTTGGATGGTATTGTTGCAGTACAAAAAACGTGAGTACATAGAGGTCAAATCTTATCAAATGTTATTGAGTTTATTTTTTGCCGGGGTCAACTCTTATCAGTTAGGTGTATAATCAGGATTATTTATTATTTTCTTTGTGTTTATTTTTTTCTTTATATTTTATTTCTAGAATTTCTGAAAAGAAGAAATTTATGACTTTTTTGGGAAATTCCCTGGGAATTACACATACACATTACACATACACATATATAATCAGTCATTAGCTTTGTAGTAGCAAATTAGTTAAACAAATTAGCATAAAAAAAGTAAAATAAATAACACTATGACACCATTTTTTTCCAGTTTTTTCCGAATCTTACAGTTTTAGTTGTGGCGGCTCTTTGATCAACTCACGCTACGTCCTGACCGCTGGACATTGTCTAGCCAGCCGGGCACTGGACAATGCCGGTGCAGTCCTGCACAGCGTTCGCCTGGGGGAGTGGGACACCCGTACCGATCCTGATTGTGCCACCCAGATTAACGGAAATCGCATCTGCGCCCCCAAACACATCGACATTGAAGTGGAGAAGGGCATTATCCATGAGCAGTTTAGTCCGAACTCCGTTGACCAGAAGAACGATATTGCTCTGGTGCGACTTAAGAAGAGCGTTAGGTGTGTGTGGATCGTTGGATTTGAAATTATTTTATAATACAGATTATCACTATAATTTTCTTACAACAGCTACACTGACTATGTGCGTCCTATTTGCCTGCCCAATGCCGATCTGATAAGGAACAACTTCGTCGATTATGGAATGGATGTAGCCGGCTGGGGTCTCACCGAGAACATGGAGCCTAGTCAAATCAAGCTGAAGATCACCGTCAACGTTTGGAATCTGACCAGATGCCAAGAAAAGTATAACACCTACAAGGTGAAACTGGACGATACCCAGATGTGTGCTGGTGGTCAATCGGGAGTGGATACCTGCGGCGGCGATTCCGGTGGTCCGCTTATGGTTTCCATTACATCTGGAGGACGGGATCTCTTCTACATAGCCGGCGTCACCTCGTACGGGACTAAGCCATGCGGCCTCAAGGGCTGGCCAGGCGTTTATACCCGCACTGGAGCTTATATCGATTGGATACAACAGAAATTGGAGGCATAATAAATAAAATGGCTAATTTATTCACATTTCTCGCATTGGCTAGCTTAATAATATTACGTACATGTTTTGCTGATAGGGGATCCGGGGTTGGACTAACTAAGCTAAGCTCTAGTGGAATGCCTACAAAGAGATTCACGTAGGCCAGCGTAATACATTAAATACAACTTTGCTGGTTTGCTGGCTTAACTGCAACCACAAAAAAAGAATAAAAGTAAAATTAACTGACTGACAAACATTATATGAGGCGGATTCATTTATCGTTTCTCTTAGTTCCGCTCTCTCTCTCTCTCCCTCTCCCTCTCACTCTTTCTCTATACAGAATTCAGATTTATATTTTTTTTTAAGTGAAAAACTAATAACAAATAACTTGAAAAAATTTTGTTTAACTAAAAGGCTGGCTATTGCCAGCAATAAGAGTTGAGACAAATTCGAGTTTTGGGATATTGGCTATAAAACTCTGACCCTTGCGAAGGGCCAGATCAGATTCGCAAGCGCTGGCGACAAAAAAGTCTTGTGGTTTTTCTGATAGGCACCAATTTTACATGCATAAGCTGGACATGATCAGATCTCCTCCGGAGCAGCACGCGGCGCAGTTCCTATTCCAGCTGCAATACTATTTCGTTCATCCGACAACTGATTCTCCCCCAAGGCTGTTAGCTCGCACTGTAGTTGATCCAAAACGCCTTGGACCGCCATACAAAAGCCACGACTGCAAGGCAGGAGCGGAAATTCGGGCAGCTCACACGGCGCCTTGTAGTCCAAGGGCATATCTAAGGAATGGGAACATTGAATTATAGGCAAAAACAAAACAGTACGTTTTATTGACTCACCCTTTATGCTGGTTATTCGAAGGCGCTGCGCCTCTAGTGAATATTTCGACCAGGCCAGCATGCGGCCATGCAGTTCGCTGCCAAACTCCTTAAAGTGCTCAATTACTTCGTTGCGAAAAATGAGCGGCGGATTCTTTAGCTGCTTTACAGTGGAGTGGGCAATTTTTATGATGGCCATCTCGTTGTAAACACGAGAGTTCTCATTGCCCAATTGGGTGCCTGAAAATAAATGGGAAATATAATTTAAATGGTTTTTTGCATTACGTTAGTTTAATGTATTACCTCTTTGTTTTTCATAGCCCGCCTCGTTATAGTAGGGCTCATCGACTAGTATGAGTCCCTGTATTGAGACGAGCACCTGCAGCATAGTGCTTATGCTCGACCACACTTCGTTGTCTCGACCTGACCAGGTACCCAGAAGCGATACGCACACCCTTCCCTCCTCGTACAAATTCGGATTTAAACGGTCCGTGCAGTAGCTGATGTAGTGGCACACTGGCGGACTTTTCGGATAGTCCCGGCCCATTTGAAAGTCAAAGAAGAATAACGCGTTCTGATAGGGAGTCCTCTTTGGACCGACCATCATCACGGACATCAGATCCATGCGATCCTCATAGGCCCGTACTATAACCCCAGCTGGCAGTGAGGCTTTCAGCAAGCGATATTCTCGCTGGATAGCCCGCTGATACTGTGCCTGGTTGGAAGGAGTCACCTGGCTTTTGATAAAGTGATGAGCAGCCGGTGCATTCGATAGCACTTGAAAACAGTTTTCACAGACGGGATTCGGGTCTGATATTAATGATGGAGATGGCGAGGAGCATGCCATTGGGCTATCAATGGCCGGCAACGACTCGGATAGAGCGTTCAGATTCAAGGGCTGTTCATTGACCTCGACGGCATCAGACTTTTTATCGGCCTCGGTACCTTTAGATTGCGCTTGATTTTCCTCATCATCCGCGAAAACTTCCTCCGCATCGCTAGCCTCCTCGTCTTCGTCCTTACGATCGCTTTTCAACTTGGTCATGAGCAAGACAGCCTCACGACATTTGATCATTTGCTCCTTGATTAGAAAACTAAAGACTTCACAGACATCAGGATCGCGATTGGCAACCAATTCAACGTCAAACTCATCCTTGGTTTGTAAGTTGGTTTCCCTTACTACGGACTCTTCGACCACTTTGTTTTCCCCATCCGGATTATTCGACTCTTCTGAGGTATTTTCACCACGCGAGTGTACACCAGAATCATTCTGCAAAGAAAAGCAATTTGTTTTTAGGTGAATTAAAAGTAGAAGGAAACACTAGGGATTATTATTAACCTTGGTGCGATTCTCAAACGCTTTAGCAATGCTTTCCCGGGCCTGGTTGATTCTTTCATTGTACTCGTTGCGATACTTCTTTACTAATTGATTGCAGGGCATTCCTGAGTCACCGCAGACAAGATATACTTTAGAAGGAAATTCTTCCGCATCTTGCACCTGCTCCTCCTCCTTGTCAACAATTCTATCCGCGCTTTTTTTGCACTGAACCGCATACAATTCCGTTGATGACTTTCGCTTCGTAGGCGTCGATGTAGATTGGCCAGATAAAACCACAGTGTCCATTTCGAGCTTGAGCGTTGAGGTATCCTTGGGCGTAGCGGCCAACGCCTCTGTAGCCTGTTTTGCGGTATCACTGGTACACTGATGCACAATGCCCTTAAAGTGGTCCTCGTCGAAAAAGTTTGACTTTAGGATTTTGTCCAGAACTCGACAATTTTTGTACACAGCCAGAAGATCGTTAAGCACATCTGCTTTATGCATAGGAGCAAGGACGCGGAAGAGCTTCTCCAGACTTGAAATTGCGTCCGTAGCCCGATCAATGCCCATTATAATGTGGTCATCGTTGTCCAGTGACAAAAGGCTAAGATTAAGTCCTACGCGACTGTTCTCAGACTGCGTCTCCCATGAGTCTTCCGATCCATCCGATTCGTATGCATCATAGCACTGTTCGTTGTGGTTGATTTCGAACAGATCCTGCGGGTAGCACATGGTAATATGCCCCATAGCCCACCAAACACGCACCCGTCCATCCGGGTAATTGTCGATCACCTGGCCAGCAGTTGAGTCGACATTCTCACCCGTAAAGTTCGACACTCGAATGACTAGAGTGCCGGGTCGGTACTGGTAGTCAGAGTGATCCTTCAAGTCATAAACGCTCAGCTCTTCTAAGTCTTTACACAAGGGACTGCAAGGAAATTATATATTTAGATTTAAGTTTCCTTTATCAAGACAAACATTACTCACATTGGATTTGATATATGAGAATAGATGTTAAACCACGTGACCTTGGCAGTACGTTCATCGTGATCCACGCACTGGATGACCCCGTAGTCTGTGGCTCCTGTGCTGTTCACGTTAGCCTTGCTTACAAAGTCGCCTGGAAAGAATTCGTGGTTATCCAAATGATGGATAGGGTAGAGTTGGGTGGAGGGTATATCCTTCTCGACCGTCCCATCCTGCCAGACGACAGTTACCGAACTGTACACAACCAGCGTCTCCACCACGGCTTCTTCGCCATCTTTTAAAACCGTCTCCTTTCTGACTAAAGGTATATGGTTGGGTTTCTTGACGTTACGCATTTTCTTCTTGACATGTCGTCTTTTGACAGATCGCATAGTTGTTCTGGATGCCTGAGCACCGGTTCCCTCAGCAGCTGCTGAGGATGCAGAGGTTGCAAAATCTGCATTTTCGGTCACCTTTAACTGTTTATCGATAGGTTCAGAGGGCTCTGGTGGTTGTGTGTGGTCTTCATCCAGCTCGTCATCATCATCCGATGTCAACATATCGTCTTTGCTGCGCTTAGACGATTTGTGACAGTGGTCGCATGCCGGACGAGGCAGGCGCAAGCCGCTGAACTTATTGGGCACACGACGGATTTTGGGCGCATTCCGAGCATTGCCACTGCTTGAGGGAGATGCATTCAGTTTGCTGGCCTTGCGCTCCATCTTTTTCTGGGCATGGTAAATGGGTATGTATTTTTCCGCTACAAAAGAGAAAAATATATGTATTTTTTGATTGAAAATTGGTAATCCTATTAATCACAAAATTATTCTACCTTGCTCCCTTTCCCAGTCGGTATGTTTAACTAATTGATCACATTTGGAATATTTGAGGTAGAATCGATCGTGAATTTGCAGCACATAGGACTCGTATATGTTAAGGCGTTTGACGTTGTTTAGGTCCTCGCCCTTGATTGTGGTTTTGGGCTGCTTTAGATTCTGGATTTCAGTGGTATGTTCGGAGGCCGAGATGGCCCGGCACGTCCATGCCACATTAACAGATGTGGTGCGAATAGATTCCACAGTATACTAGAAAGATTATGTTACATTGATTTAATTACGATTCTTACTTCCAATCGATTTTCATCTTCTTACAAAGGCACGATTTTTCCGACTACTCAGTGGAGCAATCTCTGGAGTCAGATTCTTGACGCGATCCGGAGGTGGCAAGCGACCGACTACAAGGTTGCCCGGAAAGAAGACATCCGGATTGAAGACTTCGCGGGCACAGTGGCCTACTGCATCCTTGAATTTTAGAAAATCCTTGGACGTAATTTCCAAACGGGCACCATTACCGGATCTGAAAGAATTACGATTTTAATATGGTTTTTACCAAATAAATATTTTCAACATACTTGATCACTGCAGTCTCGTCTACGTTGACAGTGGTGCCTATCCAGATACCAGAACAGACAGGAACATCGGCGGTCCATTCGGAAATCGGACGCAATCGTTCGGCGGGCACATTCCTAATGACAAACTTGGTGCCAAACACCATGACATCAGCGCGAACATTGACATCGCGGACATAGCCCGCCTGTCCGACCAGATCCTTTTGCCCCGGCAGACGTCTTCGAACCACATCGCCTGGCATTAGGGTTCTATCCGCCAGTCCAATCTGTGAACATGCCACATGGATAACACAAAGAAAAAGATGAAGAGGCGAGAAGCAAACAAACACGTGTCGAAAGTACGTGAAGAACAAACGCAAAACAGTTGTTAAAACAGTTATATTTTTTTGGAGGGGACCTTGACAATTACATAACCTCAATAGAGTTTACTTACCGAATGTTCCGTGTGCACCCCTTCCTTGCAATCCGGATAAAAGGCCACGCGCACCTCACCCTTGGACAGCACCTCGTCGACATCATCATCTTCATCGGAGGAATAGGTCTCTGCCGTTCCGGTTACAACGCCGAAATGGACGTGACCCTTGCGATCTATGCGGAATACCTCGTCCTCGAAGAAGAACTGACACTCGTTGTTGCCGCCAGACTGGTTTCGTGATGGCACCTGGCCACCGCCCGAGCGGCGGGAATGGGAATTGGCTGGATGGCGGGACTCTGGCGTCTTGGCATGCTCTTGTGGTGACGGCGGCTCTGTCATTGTAGGCTTACGCGGATTGTTTTCGTCCAAATTCTGAAGCTCATTTGGGGCGCCACCCGAATGTGCAGCACCCGCCACATCGCTTGACATATTACCAATCGTGAGCTACGAACATGAAAGGCCAGAAATCAGTTCCCAGATTTTTGCGTCGCGATTTATTGGCGTATCCCACACTTCTTTTAATTGGTCATCAACTAGGAGTTACTATATGAATATATTTTCCGACTCGTACAGACAAACACACATCTAATTTACAGACTGGACAAATCTAACAATTTGTTAGGCCAATTTTGCCAACTTCTTTGGAAAAACTATAAATAAAACAGCCAAAAATCTACAAACAAAATGATAAACTCGGAGAAAGATAATTTTGTGACTGAAAAATACCGGGGTTAGACAAAATCGATGGTTCTGAGTTACAGTAACATTTTAGCTTGGACTCGAACCGGTTTACATGGATCTGTTAAGTGGAAAGAACTAAAAGGAAAAACCGAAAAATTGCGTTTTAAACTAAAATAGAAAACTAATACAAAAACACATAAAGACAAATAAATTTCCTATTTCTACTGCTGGTTAGCATTAACATACCTTTTTAATGACTTAGTTTTGTTTACCACTAAGACTAGCAAAAATAAAAATTACTATACAAGCAAGCATTATTAACACAAAAATCACGGACATTATAATGCAGAGAAACATTACGCAGTATTTAAAAATTGCTCTTAACTCCCCTAGTAGTACTGTCACAAATTACTCACCTCTCTAAACAGTGTTAAACTCGTGTTTAATGTATAAAACTATATTTTTATACCCGTACTCTAAGAGTTATTTTTCAATTGTAATGCACAAAAATTTATTCGTGTTTTTGTGTTTTTAGTTGTTTTCACAACAAACTCAAAGAATACTTCGATTTGTAACAATATACACCGCCTTTCACCGAAAAAAGGTGAAATTAATATTGTTATTTCTTATTCTATTCCTTTGCGCAACCGAACTAAAACTATTATTCACAAGGTAATTCGTGATTTTGAACTATTAAATGACGACACTCATTCCAGGCGTTTAAGCAACACCGATGATTAGCAATTGGTTTTTAGTGATAGTATAGAATTAGAAGGAACAATGAACAATAGAGTTGCTACCATATCATAGCGCTTTTAGTTGTAAGCAGATTTTAAATTTCAAAACCCCATAAATATGCAAAATGTATTATTAAACCTTTTATTCACTAAAATTTGGAACATTTCTTCTAATATTGCACTCTACATGTTGTCACATCTAACAATCATGGGCGGAGCGTACTGGTTGTGACGCACACCGAAGGAGTAACCCGGTCCGCTTTTGCCAGGACGATAGTACATTAAATCATAATAGTTGGGTCCTGGGCCGACATTCTCGCCTGGAACTACGGTTCTTGCCTGCATCGAGTATATCGGAGCACGGTTAAGCTTGACATTGATATCACCGCCACCATAGGCTGCAGGTCCAGGTGAATTGGTCTTATTGATAAGCTTTGTTTGCAAGCCCCTGTTATCCAGAATACCATAGTAATTAGGGAAGGGTAATCCATGACAGATCTGAGTCTACTTACATGCTATAGCTCGGGACACCAGGACGAACCGCATTCACCTCATATTTGTAGGCATTGGGACCAGGACCATCCTTTTTAAAGCTAAAGTCCGTTCGCAGACCCATCGAATAGGATGGCGCATTAACTCCCGTGAAGAATGGCTTTTTGTGGACATCATGGGCTCCGGGTCCGGGACTACTCCGCTTGTCTACAATGGCATTCTCTCTATGAATCAGCGAGTTCTTAATTTCACTTAACAGACTCACCTATAGTGTTTGTTCTGGGGGCCATCGAAAACTCTAACCCCTTGGATCCACCGTAACGCGTCAACTTGTCCACCTTGTAGGCCCCGGGACCAGGACCCAGGTCCTCTCCAACAGCACGCGTACGCATGCCGAAGGAGTACTGTGGCATCCGCTGTTTGCGATTATCATGCTTATCATAGCCCACAGTGGGTGGGAGCATGTAGACGCCGGGTCCGGGGCCTTTAAAAAATAATATTTTTCACTCTATTATTATTACACGACTTAAAAACTTTCACTCACCGAAAGGTCGCACCGCCATTTTCCGTTAGATTTGTGCAATATTAGAAGAAAATATATTTATATTAAATTTTGAACCCGGATATGAGGTGTTTGCCGAATGGAGAGCACGGAATGAATGAGGCCGTTACAGAGCCCTACATCTTAGGTCAAGGGGAAGTTTGATCCAAGGCAAAGTTGATTGAAAAATTTGAACTTGAAAGTTTAAATGATATTTGCGTAATACTTTTTAATCGGAGAATTTGATTATATTAACCTAAGCGAATTGAAAAACAATGTAAAGTAATGATAATTATAGGAGATTCGAATCTTAAGGTTAGTTAAAGGGTTTTTAAAGGGTTTTACGAAAAAAATCAGCTCGAAGTTTATATATTGCTTTAATGAGCCAAAGGAACGCCTAATCTTGGACACTCAAGATTGCTTGAGATTTGGGTGGACAACTGGGCAGTACAAGTTATTCCACATCCATGGAGTTGTAGAGCTGTTTATATCGAGATCCACGTCCGCTGCTTTGTAGTAGCATATCATTATGCTGCTCCCTCAGAGCCTATAAAAATATGTATTATAACTTCTTTTAAATACTGTTATTACAAGTTTTACCTTTGGATCATATTTCTGATACAAGTAGACCAGAATTGGCCCATAGATCATATTGAAAATGCCAACAATTCGCATTAGCCAAGCAAAACCAAAGGTCTGGGCCAACTCACCTCCAATTAAAGGAGCTGTTAAAGTATTAAAATTTAGTTACATATTTTAACATAAGCATTTAGGACTTACCTAAGCAATAGGCCAGGCTAACGGAGGTCTGCTGAATGGCGTAGACAGTGCCGTAGCTGGACATGGAACTGCTGCTCTCATTGTGTTCCTCTTGGGAAAGTGTGGCATCCACAAAGGTGGCCAAAAGTGGAACCAATGCAGCATCTATTACTCCTATGCCCAGACCCAAGGCGAAATGGGGCATCAGCAGTTGGGCAACTGTTGTGGCACTGGGAATCTATATGGAAATTAAAAAAATTTGGATTTTGATCTTCTTTAGAAATAATCACCAGAATGGAGGCCACTCCCACGAGCAGCAAGCTGATGCAGGAAACCTTAACCTGACCGTATTTATAGGCAATGCTGCCGAAGAAGTTGGTGCCCACAAAGTAGCCCACAGAGTCTGGAATAAAAACGGTGCCCAGCTGCCATTTATTTGGCTTCAAGTACTGGATTAACCAGATGGGCAGACATGGCTCTAGCATGGCCATTGTGGAGGTGGAAAACCAAATGGCCAACACAATGGCCAAAATCATTTTGCATTCAAGCAAAGGTCGCCATTTGGGAGTTTCCTCTACCACCACCTCCGGCTGCACCGACAGATCCATGGTCAGCAACTGAAGACCCAAACTGAGAAACATTAGCGTTGAGAGTATAATGAACGGTGCCGATTTCCCCATCAGATCATATAGAATGCCACCAAAGGGATATCCTAGTAGCACACCCAATGCAATACTGCCCAGGATGATGCCCATCACCTTGGAGCGACGTGCCTCCTCTGGATAATGCTGGGCCACCAGACTCATCCCGCAAATGTTAATGCAAGCGGATCCCACGCCCTGCACCGCACGGGCAATTAAAAGTGCCCAATAGGATTCACCAATCGTGAACACTGAAAGAAAGATAAGATAATTAATAAATGAAACTCTTATTTATACTCATTTAAACTTTAAACTTTAAATGTCACCCTGATGGAAAAGTCTTCCATTTCCAAAAAATCAATCAATGCCCCCGAAAATAGATCACTCACCCAGCGAGGACAAGAGCAGGAAGAAGGTGCCCACTACAATGGGAAGGCGGTAGCCAAACTTGCTGGATGCGTTGCCGACAATCGGATTGAAAATTAATTGGACGAGGGCCTTCATGGCCAGCAGCAGGCCAATGGAGCCGTTCTCCTGCGTCAAGGTCAGTTCCTTGTTGCTGGTGTGGTGGGTGGGTGGATTGCCAGGGGCCAGCTTCCTGTTCCTGTTCCTATGCCCATTCCCAATTCCAGTGACATTAGTGCCAGTCGACTGGCCATCCGTTAGCTTTACAGGCGATTGTGTGGACGTGGAATTGGGTGTGAATCTAGTCGACGTGGTGCTTGTCGTGGTGGTGGCTTCAGTAGACAGCTGGTACAGGGTGAAATTAACCATCGATTTGCCAGGAATGGGATGCTTAGAGATGTATAGCTGTGGATGACTACCGCCCGATGATTCCCCTGATCGATATGCCAGCTTCGAAGATGGTGATGTATCCTCTAGACTCAAAAACATCGTGGAAGTCTTATCCACCTCCAGGCTAGCCAAGTAATCCGGCAGAATGGGCACTGCAAATGCGATAATTATCGTTTATTACTGCTCTTATCTGTAATTGATTTGGCCATTACCAATTACGGTTAGCAGCATGTTATCTAGCAGCAGAGCCAGGTAGACAATCACGGCAATCAGGCAGCGATTGGAGGAGCCATTCGCTCCGGACGGTGTGGAACTTCGCCTGCCGGAGGCATTAAGCTGGGCAGCTGCCTGGGATTCCGAACGGACATGAGTCTGTCCGCGATTCGACTTCTCTGACATGGCAAAAGCACGTTTGGCTAATTGGACAACACAGATACCGCCAATTTAGGCTGCCATATGGCATACGGGTTCGCGCCACAAAGTATCTATACAGAGCCAACAACAGGTGGTGTTGCTGCCACAACGACGTATGTGCGAATATTGAAAGGCGGCGACAAGTTGCCGTTCTATTTTATTGACATCAGACGAACCGAGCCGAGCTAGTGGCCCGAACGAATGGCCAAAAGACCGAAGGCAGGCCAGGAGGCAACCAGTCAGCCATGGATCCCACTCCAAGGTATTCTACTCTGTTTATGTCGAACATGGTGAACCCCAGGGAGGGTATGTGGTTTTAACAAAAACATTTCAAAGGCGATTTGTGTTTGAGTAATTTAGAAAATATATCATTACCTTAAGTTACTATGGTTAAAACTATACAGTAAATAAAATTTGTATGGCCAAAATATAAACTGTTATTTTAATTAATATTAATCAGTGTGTGGAAGTTCTTAAAAAGTTATTAAAAACCGAAAGCAACGTAAAAGGTTTTACGATATTTTCCTATAAAATATATAATAAATATATAATATTTTCAAGAGCATTGAAAATATCCTCTAACCAAAGGGATTTTCTCAATTTTTCTATTCAACTGGTGATAGTTTTTGTTAACACGAAACTCTGCCGCACATACATGGCTTTAAAGCTTTAGCCATGACATGGGGATTCAATATTATTACCACCCCCCTCGATATGGATATGGGATGGCGGTGAGATGGAGATTAAAGCTCTGGCTTAAAGACCCGGCACAGAGCGAGTGTTTGCCACAGCCCCGATAAGCAGGCTATGGACTTTTAGCCTTTAGTCACATTTTCCAATTCATTGCATTTTTTTTTCTGTTTAAATTTAGTCCCGGGACAAATTTGTGATGAATTTCCTTTATGCTGAAAATTGATTTTAAGAATGGGTGGTGTGATGTAGCTACCCAACGATATTGACCTATTTTTAGCTGAAGATGTGGCATAAATAACTGAGGTGTCTGCCAGAAGAAAAAGAGAGGCAAGTCCATGACCTAATAGATGATAGCCAAAGGCAATGATTAATCCCCAGACTTGATAAGCCAAAAGCACACCTGTTCTGTAAACTTTTTGTCATTAGCAGACCCTAATCTAGGCCCCACTTAAGCTTAGCACACCGATTAGACTAACCTGACAAATATTTCCAGTTATTTGATTAGATAACCGTAAAAATATTGCACATAATAAATATTTAAACTAATTTTGGTAAGCCATGTATATATATTTTAAACCATTTCACTATTTAACGACGATTGTACACAGAGTATGATTCGGATGCAATGGTTCCATAACGCGTCACATTGCCCAGATGATAGGAAGCTGGCCCGGGCCCTTCAACTTTCAGGGGATTGTTACAGCTTCTCGCCTGCTTTCCGAAGGAAAACTGTGGACTTCGCTGCATCCGGTTGTAGCAAATGTTATCACCAAAGGTGCTGGGCAGGTTATACGCACCAGGTCCAGGTCCTTTAAAGAAATGCAAAGTTTTAGATTTCACAATGAGAAAACGGATCACTTTTTCAAAACTTTTAACAATTCTTACCGATAGGTTTATTACTAGACATGATTAGACTTTTTTTTTTTCTAGAAAAATTTAGGCAAATTTGTATAATTTTGAAACTCTGGAAAGAGTTGTTTGCCGAATGAGATTCAACCAAAGAATGAGGAAACCTACAACTGATGCCCCAAACTACATGCTAAAAGAAAAGTCAAGGCCTTACTGATGATGAATATTATCGATTCAAATCTCAGCCTAATAATCCCAATAAAGATTATGGGCATGTTCAGTTGGCTGGTAAACATAATCGCTAAGTGGCCTTATCGGTTAAATTTCCTGTCTTTGGGTGAGCCCCAAGTGGTCAGATTAACGGCCAAGAACGGCCAGGTGGAACCTTCGCAGCGAGCAATGTTTTCAGTCGGCTGGTGGCGAATCGAGCGAACGGTCAACTAGGAAAAATGTTTGCCAGCAGAGGAATTCTAGTGCTGGGAGTGCTGTTGATATCGGCACTTGGTAAGTGGCCATAAAACCGAACCATAAACCAAAATTAGAACTGAAATTGGCCTGCAGGTGGCCAGTCTGAAACGATCCCCTGCAAACTGAAGGATGCGGAGCACGGCAAGGTGTGCGTCTGTACGGCGGACTACTGTGACTATTTGGACAATCCTGTCCTGACTGATGAGAGCGAGTGGTTCTTGATTTCCAGTTCCAAGCAAGGACTTCGCTTCTCAACCACAAGTAATAAATTCGGCAATGAGGAGAAGGTCACTATCCAGGATTATGTGGAGCCTACCACAGAGACTGTGAATGCCACTATCCTCTCCCGTCTGCTCGATGAGGTGGTGGCCAGTGCTTTTACCTTGGAGTCCCGGGAGAGCTCTATCACTCGCTCAGTGACCCTACGTTTGAATAGGACTAATACCCACCAGAAGATGGTTGGCTTTGGAGGCAGTTACACAGGAGCTGTTACCTATTTGGTGGAAAACTTCAAGCAGACGGATCTGGCTGATCACTTATACAAGTCCTTCTACGCGGAAGATGGTGTGGGTTTCAATCTCATGAGAGTTTCGATTGGCGGTTGTGATTTTGATTTGGAAGCCTGGTCATATGCTGAGGAAGTGGACGACACCTTGCTGTCGGATATGGATAAACTGGACGAGCATGATGTAAATCGAGTGGAGCAGATTAAGCGACTCATTGAGGTGTCCGGCGTCAAGAATCTCCTTGTGAAAGGAGCTGCCTGGAGTGCCCCGCCATGGATGAAGACCAACAACAGGTGGACAGGATTTGGACGGCTCAAGCGGGCTTACTATCAAACTTGGGCGGATTATCATCTGCGTTGGATAAAGCTGATGGAGGACAATGGCATTCCCATCTGGGCCATTTCCACGGGTAATGAACCCCTCAATGGCATCTTCTTTATGTACTTCGTTAAGTTCATGAGCATGGGATGGACTCCCCAGACGCAGGCCATTTGGTTGAACGATTATCTGGGTCCCACCATTCGTAACTCGGAATTCAAGGACATCATCCTGTTTGGCAATGATGATCAACGCTATTCCTTCCCTCATTGGTTTAAAATGGTAAGTTAACATTTTTAAAAGCAAAGTATATATATTATATTTTTAGAAGCTAACATCGTTGATATGTTAAATTTTATTTCGTATTTTAGGAATGAAAAACCTTATCGGGTTAAAATAAAAATAAATCTAAAAACAACCACGATCAAATTACCCCCAATTATACTACAAAGTTCATAATCCTTATCTTGTATATATTTTCAGATGAACTATACTCGGCCAAACTCGATTGATTATCTGGACGGATTATCGCTGCACTGGTATTGGGATGAAATTTTTGGCAACAGCTTTATCGAACAGACCACGGAATATGCCCCCGACAAGATTTTGATAGTATCGGAATCCTGCATCGGTGATAAACCCTGGCAGGCAGCTGCTCCTCTCCTGGGAAGTTGGGAAAGGGCCGAGAAGTACGCCCGTGACTATCTTCTTAACATTAAGTTGGGCTTCCATGCCTGGATCGATTGGAACATAGCTCTGGATGAGGAGGGTGGTCCCAATTATGTGGACAACTTTGTGGATGCCCCAGTTGTTGTCAATACCACAAGTATGAAATCTCAAATCCATTTTATTTATATATCTTAAGTAATATAATTTATTTCTTTTAGCTTTTGAAGAGTTCTATAAGCAGCCCATGTTCTATGCCATTGGCCACTTCTCAAAGTTGGTTCCGGAGGGATCCATTCGTATAGATGCCGTTGCCAGTAATGTCAACCTGGATTCCGTTGCCTTCCTCCGGCCGGATAACAAAATCGCCGCTGTTCTTTTTAATAGTGGTCGTGCTGATCTGGATATCACTTTGGTGGACAGTGAAAGAGGACAATTTGTAGTGAATGTTCCGGCGAAATCTATTCACACGTTGCTGTACAGCTAATTATGAAATGAAATGGGAAAAAAATATATAAAATAAATTTTAATTAAATTAAAAAACTAAATATTAGAAGTATATGATATATCATGATTTCTACGGATCTTCACAAGTTGGTTTAAATTTACATTAGATAAAAGTTATTAAATACTGGTCAAGTCCAGCTCTTAAATTCGTATTTGGTAAACATTTATTTTAGAGAATTAGAAAGTATATACTTTAAAATATATTGCATACATTTTATATTACTTTGAGATTCAAAGTTTAATTTTAAAAAGTTTGGTGGAAAATGTTATTCTTTCCCACAGTTCATACTCATGACTTTTTACGAACTTTACAGCCTACTTTTAGGCTTATTTTAAAGACCCATTAAATGTTCATCAATTTACTATTGAATCTCTCATCTCTCATAATTTGAATGAAATAATAATAATAATGTCTATTCCAGTTTATACGAAATATTGAAAATAAGAACACCTTACTTCTGTGAAATTGCGATTTTCAAAGATTTGATAAGCTTCTCTAACCGAACCTTCTTAAATCTGATCCATCAGTGACTGTAAACCAGTGGATTAACAAACAACCTATTGAAATGGAACTGTATATAAATTCCTTAAATTTATTACTTTTACTAAGTACCCAGTTCATCCTCTTCGGTATCTCTGAGTTACTTTACAAGCCGGAAGATAATGTGGAGCAGCTTAATTTCACCACATTTGAAGCTAAACTTGGAGATCCGACATCGGGAAAGTTGGTGAAGTTCTACAACGCCTTTTGTGAGGATAGCCAAAACTATTTACCCGGATTCAGGAATCTATCCCGTAGACTTTACAAATGGCGAAGGATATTGAAAATCTATGTCCTAGATTGTTCGCAGGATGACAACAATAAGATCTGTCGTAGCTACATCATTCGTAGTACCCCAACATTAAGATACTTTCCACAAAGCTACCAGCGAATGCCAAATGATTTAGGTACGGATATCACAAGTCGAAATGTTAGGGAAATTCAATCGGATCTGGCTTTGTTTCTCAAGGATTTGGACCACTTTAATATGTTTAAGCGGGAGGATAACGTGGCGGATATATTTAAGGACAACGCAAATTTAAAGTACGTTGTCATGGTCTTCCAGATGTGCTTGTCCGAGTTCCTTCCACATTTCGAAACTGGAAATTCCGATGAGGAGAGGTTCGCATCCCTGGATGATTGCAATGAAAACAATCCCGTGGTGGCGGCTATTGGTAGGAACACCCTCCTTGAACTACTGCCCTATGAGGACGTCATTGTGCGGATCTTCGATGATCATGAGATTTACACGAAGTTCGGAATATCACCAGTACCTAACTTGCTAGTGATGGTTAATCGCGATGGAAATCATTTACTCCTTACACCCGAGGTGGATACCAGTCATGCCTATGTGGCTGCCGTTCAGCAATTCCTAATCTTTATTAATAAAAACCCGCAGAAACCATTACCGAAAACTCTGCCCCCTAACATCGAGGAGGCCTTGCGCTACGAGATCTTCGAGCATCACAAACACCATTCCCATCGAATCTTTCGAGCTGATTTGGAGCGAGCTATTGATCAAATCCTAAACGTAGAGCTCCTTCGACCCACACACTTTGTTGGAGCAAAGCTAACTGTCTTGCGGAATTTTCTTCGACTTTTGAAATTCTTAAGTCCTCTGAAAGAAGAGGCAAAAGAAAGACTGGTCGGTCTGTATTATTCGATGAGACTTAAAAGGAAGCTCACTAGGGCTGGACTCCAGGAAATATTGTTAAAATCACTGAAGGATTACCAATTTGATGGAAAGCAATACGTAGGCTGCATTGCCTCTCGTCCTTCTTTACGTGGTTTCAACTGCTCTCTTTGGACACTATTCCATTATCTTTCCGTGGAATCGGAACATATTAAAATTGCATCCGTCGTCTTGGTCTTTCATGGATACGTCAAATTGTTTATGAACTGCAAAGAATGTAGTCAGAAGATTAAGGAGTTTAAGAAGATCTATCCTATTGCTAATATCACCGAAAATAATCAAGAAATATTGTGGCTATGGCGAGCACATAATTATGTCAACAAGGAGTTAGCCGGTGATTCTACAGAGGATCCGCTATTCCCCAAGATTCAGTTTCCAAGTGAGAAAGATTGCCCCAACTGTCGGGGTAACAAGTCCGAATGGCGTACTGATGAGGTGCTGAAATATCTTAAAACTATCTATTGCTTGAAGAACCTCAGCTGGTTTGGAATGTCATCGGCAAAAGCTTATACTTAAATATTATTCAAAGTTTGGAAAAGTTTAAATTTAACTTAAATTTTATATTTTCATTATATTTTTATCATTACGAAATAAATACAAAATTTAAATGCTGTATTTTTATGAACAATTTTAAATATATAAGCCCCCTTGGGCTCTGAAAACCCGCCCCTGGCCTTGCATAACTTTTACTTTTGATTGCGTGTGCGGATTTCCAAGTGGGATTGCCTCGGCCGGCAACTATAGCTATTTGCCGGTCCACTCGCTTTATCAATTCAACAGCTGAGCCCGGGTCAAGTGGCGCTCGAAAACATAAACATCAAGTTGAGCGAAATTCGGTTGCCCGTTCGATTGAAAGCCGAGTCGCTCACGTTTTTGAGCTCAGTTGTGGTCAGGTCTTCGATCGCGTCGGATTGTCTTTGGGTGCTGCAGTGCCGAAATGAAGACTCATTGGCTTGGCTTTCTTTTTGCAGTGATCGTAATCAGTGCAGGTGAATGAATTACATATATATATTTATACCTACCTGAATATAAGAAATATTTATATATTTATATATTGCAGTTGTTTTGGGGAAAGAATTTCCCTGCGATCTGCGGGATACGAAGCATGGAAGTGTTTGTGTTTGCAACAGCACCTACTGCGATTATCTGGAACAGCCACAGCTCGCTGATAGCTCTCAGATTGTGGTGATTAGTTCCAGCAAGGTGAGTCAGGAGGATTACCTGCAATCGCGGTCACAAAAATAGCACTTCAACATAAGTTTATGAGGGAATATATAATTCTCTTTATCAGGCACGTTTGTTCAGTCACGATTAAGCAAATTGAGCTCAAAGTTCACTTGCTTGAGTTTTCTTATCAAGCCCAGCTTTTATTTGATTTTTGTCATGCTTTTATGTATTTATTTATTTTATGTTTATATATTATTTAATTATTTTCAGGATGGCTTGCGCTTTAAGAAGACCACAGGTGATCTTTCAGAGAAAAAACCTATAACAGTGGATGATAAACAGTTTACTGATGAGAACTTCAAGGCGGAGGCGATTGTCGTGGATGAGCAGAGAGCCTGGTTACAGATGGCTAATATTCGTCAACGATTGTGTAATTAAAAAATATTATAAATATTTTTAAAAATTAAAAATTATATTTCAAAATTTCAGTTATCAATGCCAGCATTAAGACATTCAAAATATCTGTGAAACGAGAGCAGAAATACCAAAATATTTCCATTTTTGGTGGAGCTCTTACAGGAGCAGTTTCCCATTTGGTAAAGCAATTACCAGAAGAGCTACAAGATCATGTCTACAGGTGGGTTTTAAATGGCACAAATATCTAAATGAAATTATTTATAAACCTTTTCTATTACAGATCCTATTACCATCCCGATGGCATCGCCTACAACACTGTTCGAATGTCTATTGGTGGCTGTGATTTTGATATCGCACCCTGGGCTTATAACGAATGGCCTCGTAATGATGAAAAATTAAGTAACTTTACAGAGCTGGATCCCAGAGATCTTGAGAAAATTGATCAACTAAAACGCCTAAAGGCAGTTGGCCAACTAGATGAACTAAAGATCATGGCAGCAGCCTGGAGTCCACCCCCATGGATGAAGACCAACGGCCGCTGGACAGGATATGGTCAGCTGAAATCGGAATATTACCAAACCTGGGCTCTCTACCATCTCAAGTGAGATAATATTTATGCAATATAATTGGCATTTCTCAGAGACCTGATGTTCTTTGCAGATTTCTCGAACTCATGAGGGCTAAAAATATGCCGATTTGGGCCATATCCACTGGCAATGAGCCGCTAAACGGCGTCATTGCCTTCTTCTTTGTGCACTTCATGAGCCTGGGCTGGACGCCTAAACAGCAGGTATGAGCCATTAGAAATTGGCCGCTGGCCATCGATCACGTTTCTGGCTATTAAGCATGACGACTTTTTTTCATTTTCGGCCAGGCTATTTGGCTGAGCGACAATCTGGGGCCAACCATCAGGAATTCGGCGGAGAGCAAGGTGCTCATCTTTGGTGATGATGACCAGCGTTATACTTATCCCTCGTGGTTTGAAAAGGTATTTTATACTATATAGTTTATATTTAATATTTACCAATTTATAATCTCCAAGATGAACACCTCCCGCAACAATTCGCTGTCCTACTTAGATGGCCTCGCCGTTCATTGGTATTTTGATGACCTAATAAGTCCTCAGGTGATTGACCAGGCACACATGCAAATGCCTAACAAGATGATATTGAATACAGAGTCCTGCATTGGGGACAAGCCATGGCAGACCCACGGACCGGTACTAGGAAGTTGGCAGCGCGGAGAGGCCTATATGAGAGCCTACACCCAGGACTTTAGGCACCATTTCAATGGCTGGATAGATTGGAATCTAGTGCTGGATGAAGAAGGTGGTCCGAACTATGTAAAGAACTTTGTGGATGCTCCGATCATTGTGAATGCCACGAGTCGGGATGAGATATATAAACAGCCGATCTTCTATGCCATAGGGCACTTCTCTAAGTTTCTGCCAGAGCAATCGGTGCGCATCGAGACGCGAATCGAGAACCAGACCAATCCCTTCACCCAGCTGAGTGTTGTGGGTTTCCAGCGACCAGACGGCAGTGTGGCGTTGATCATCTACAATGGGTAAGTGCACTGAGGGAAAATGTTTAACTCATTGCTTAGAAAGAAATCAAAGTAGCTGTTTCTTATAAAGGAAATAAATTCCCATTTTCCATTTTCCGATTTCTCCAAGTGCCTCTTTTACGTATCTATTTCGGGTTACATCTGCGACTGTGCCGCTTAAGTGCGTCAACTTAATTGCCGACAACGTTGCGATTCACTTTTATGAATGTCTCTAGCACTTTTCCCCATTTATTCTACAATTTCTAAGTAATCTTTCCTTGTAATCTCCTGCAGCCAAAATATGCCCGTGGATGTGGTCCTCAATGATAGCCAACGCGGAGAGATAAAACTTCGCCTGCCGCCGCGTTCCTGGCATACAGTTCTCTACAAATGAGCTGGCCCCCCGGTTCCCAGTTTCCCAGAACCCAAACTAAATAGTAATTTAAACTAGACACTAGGAATGGGGCAAGTAGTCCAGCTGCCTTTGTCGCTGCCCAGAGGACCAATTGAGAGTCAAGTGACACAACAAGGCAAACGGAAGGAAGCCAATAAATTGCCCTCAACAGGATGAGCAGGATAATGGATATAGAGCTAGGTATAGTGAGAAGAGGGGGGATTCGAAATTCGAATACAAGGATGCAACAACGGAAATTTGTTTAAGCTGCTCAATTTGCCGGAACGCGTCTGTTTACAATGAATTTTCATTTGCCGTTTAATTTTTGTTCTTGTCAGAGGGGAATGGGAATACGGCAAAGTACAAACGTCATGCATGTTCCTATATAGCATATATAGTATATAGTATATAGGAACATATCTCGGATCAAGTTGAGTGACAACTGGCAGTCGAGCGGCAACGACGACTGCCTCTCTTTTCGAATATTATTATCTTTAAGACTGGCACTTTGGGGTCTCGACTATTTGTTTAATATGCTCTATAAATATGATTGTCAATTGAGCGCCAAGCAAATGCATTTTCCCATTTGCTTTCCCGCTTTCCCGCACAAAATGGGGCGTTTTATGTAAGTCTATAAATTAAAACATGAAACATTTATAAACTGCTCTTTGCCGCCGCAATGCTCTTTAATTATGTTTTTAGTTTTAATATATAAATATTATTTAGATGAGTACTTGGAATGTTTGTCATATCCTTGACTTTGATTTTTTGGTTTTTCTCAAACTACTTATGAGTAAAATAAACTTAATGTCAAGATGTTTAAAATTTGTTATTTCGAAATAAACAAGCTTTTAAATGGGATTATTTTTTCAAAATATTTAAATTGCAATTTATAAATAAGTCTTATTAATTAAGCATAACTTTATGAATCATTCTAAGAAACAGCAAATCGTTTAAGAACTTAGAACATTTTAATAAATAATAATAAACAAATATATTTTTAGCAAAGTAAAGTTTAAGGATTTCCTTTACATAACCATATCCTTTCCATAAACATATGGAATATCAAAGATTAATTGAGACATAAGTGTAGCCACACTTGATAGCATTAATCCCTTACCCTTTTCTTATTTTTTAAGTTTCCCAGCGGCGACTCCCTGTGGCATCCATCACTTTCCCCGAATGCAGCATATGCATGCCGAGGGTTTTGTGAGCATATCTGAAGTGCTTACAACAAAATACACTTATCAGCAATGAGTGTGTCAATTACATGCCCCCTTTTTTGTCCGTTTTTCTTCTTTTCTTACCACCAAGAAAGTGCCAACATGGGGCAATGTGTCGAGTGCGATGGTGCAGTGCAGCGAGCTGTTAATGAGGCTCATTATTAATATGGCAACGATATGTTTGTGTCATGAGCAATGAGCTGGCTGCTTTGGGAATTTACACGCGCTGCCCTGTCAACATGAAGATCAAAGCACAGCCTCCAGTGGCAATGCGAGTACCCAAAACCCCACCTACTCCTCATGGCCATAATGTTTTATGAGTTATTGCCGGAGTGGGAAGATGATCCGGTCTTCCTGGGCTCTCCAATAGCAAAATCTACAAGTTCTAGCAGATCTTTGGCTTGTCAGCAGCTGACAGCGTCATGTCACACAGCAATTTGCCCGGCCCGTAGGTGTTCCATGTCAACTCCAACAGCACATCGCCACCTAGCCAAGAGATGTCGGTCTGTGTAATGCCCTCTGACAGGCACTCAAATTGAATGCTCACAACAGGGACAACCGACGAACTGGATACTATTTAGCGTTAGATTTATTTCGGGCATTAAACGGAGATCGCATTTCAAAAGAGAGTACTCATGCACTGAGGGAAAATTGATCGAAGTTTATATTTTATATATATTTTTGAAGTACTTAAAACCTATTAGGAAGGGACTTCAAAGTGAGTCTTTTCTTCTATATTATAAACAGTTTTCCTTTTTTCAACAACACATGTCACCAAAATTTAATCCCAGTGCACTTCCATCCATTTCCCAAATGTGCACGCGAAGGGCACTTAAGAGATCTTTTCAGACAGGCGCCGGATGTGCACTATTACTGCCATATATAGTACATGTCCTCACCATGTCTCCTCCTATCAATATCGGAATATCCAAAAGAGAATTTCTCGCCAGAGAAAAGTGCAAGTTGGAAATGCGTGTAGATAAACCCAAAACCATGAAGAAGCGGGTGTATTTTTCCAATCCGATTCGGCGCGTTTGATAAGATTAGATAAGGCTGGGCCACCCACCACCCGATGTAGATTGAAATAGTCAAATTAGATATATCATAGCTAGAGCTAAACGCCATCAAACAGTGGATAACCGTTACCAAAATGCGACGTCCACTCTCGCCGACATTGGCCAAATTGGCCGAAAAGGAGGTGAACGAGACGCCGGACAGGATTCAGCAGGACATTATTATCCTGCGAGTCTGGATACGCCAGCAGCCGCATTTGCGTGCCCGCACAGATGTAGATTTCTTGATTGCCTTCCTGAGACGCTGCAGATACAGTTTGGAGGAGACCAAACGCCGGATTGATCGTTACTTCACCCACTACAATCTTTTTCCGGAGATCATGAACAATCGGTGTGTGACTCAGCGTCTTTTGGATATCAATCGAATGGGGTAAGTTTAAGTGTTTTGTTAAAAAAAAAGGAAACTAATTGGTGCTTTCTTTATGTATCATTCAGAATATGCCTTTATCCGGATATGCCAAAAGGTGATAGTCGCACAGCCATGTTCATAGCCCGGTTTGGTCACTTTGACCCCAATCTTTACATGCTGCGCGAGATCTATCACTTTTCCTCCATGGCCATGGAGGTGATAGCTCTGGAGAATGATTATGCCTCACTGGCGGGTATCTGTGAAATTATTGATCTCGAGGGAGTCAATTCGGATAAAATGAGACGTTTTGATAGGGTTTTATTTCGCAAATGGTGGAATTGGCTGTACAATTGCAGTCCCTTGAAGGTCAAGGAAATGTACATTATCAACATGCCCAAGGATATTCAGGGTACCGTCATGTTTCTCTACAATGTGCTCAGCATGCAGGTCAACTATCCGGTGGGTACTATTACTTTAAATAATATTTTTTAAGTAAATCCAATCAATATTTATACAAAAAAAAACATTTTAGATACGCGTCCTGAAGAACAGCGAGGAGCTAATCGAGCACATTGGCAAGGATTCTTTGCCAGAGGAATATGGCGGCACCAATGGCCACATGGGTGAATGTGTGGCCTACATGGAGGATCTCCTCAATAGCTATCGTGGGTATTTCGAACAGGATTGCAACTATGGAACCATTGAGGAGCTGCGTCACGGGGAAATAGCCACCTATGAAGCAGAATTCGGAGCCAGTGGCTCTTTTCGGCGGCTGAACTGGGATTGATAATGATAACCTAACCCGGAAGCAGGAAATCTATACCCACCAAGACACGCATATCCATATTAACACATTCCAAAAACTCTGCTGTAGTCGATCAATTAAAGATAACGCCCCCACATATCACCTATCTATATGCACTCGTGTATCTATATCTATCTGGCTGGCCGACGGGCTTCGGCTTGCCGTTCCAGCTAGTTTACAAGGTGTTGCTTTGATTAGATACCGTCAATACCACCACCAAAGCCACCACCAACCACCTCGACCATGGTATGGTGCGTCAGTGGTTTTGGCATTCAGTTAGCATTGAAACGAGCGCCGGAATGGCGACCAATCTGAGACCTCTCAATGCCCAGCTGGCAGCTCTGGCCAAGAGCGAGTGCAATGAGGAGCAGGCACAACGCTCGGAGATTATAGCCACTATACAGACATGGATCACTAAGTCGCCACATCTCAAGGCACCCACCAATGAGCAGCTGATCCTGGCCTTCCTGCGGCGCTGCCGTTTTAGCCAGGAGGAGACCAAAAGGCGTTTTGACAACTACTACTCCCTGCGCAGTGTTTTTCCAGAGGTTCTGGGTTCTCGGCAGGTGGACGAGGCTCTGCTCACCCAGCTTCAAAGAGGGTGGGTTTACAGTGATGTGATAATTGAACTCTTTAATATAACTTTAACATTTTTGAAGTTTTGTTAAATATTTCCTTATCAGCGGTGTCAAAAGTAACAAATTATTTAGAACTTTTTGATAGCTATGGTAAAAATAATTTATTCATTCACTATCTATGGACACTGCTTGCCGGAAATTAATTTCATGTTGACAATTGTGATTACAAAAATTACTTTTGTTGTTGCCACAACTAAACATTTAGCAAGAAACTAAAGATAAAAGTGGACAATGAAGTGTGTTTTTTCTAATCCCCAGGATCCATGTGATACCCATTCGTCCGGTGAGTCCCGAAGGACCAAGGGTTATCATTTCGCAGTTCCGAAACATCGATCCCAAGAAGTCGAATCCCCGAGAGGCCTTCAAACTGGTCTTCATTATGCTGGAACTACTCGCTCTGGAGTGTGATAATGCCTCGATTTCCGGTTTGGTTTGGGTGGTGGATGCCCGGGATGTCACCATGGAGCAGATGCTGCAGTATGATCCTTTTCTGCTAAAAAAAGCTTTTGCCCTGGTGGATCAGTGTATGCCATTGCGATTTGTGGAGATTCATATGATAAATATGCGAAAGGAGGGTCAAACTATTTTCAATTTTGTAACTAAGTTTTTGCCCTCTAAACTGCCATTTAAGGTGAGTCATTGCTGGAATATTTATGAATTAATTGTTAATTGTAGTTAAAAATAGGAAAATTTTTATCTCTTGTTTATATGTTTGAATATTCTATTGCGGTTTTTGCTTGCTTTTACTTTGTTTTATTTATAAATGTGTAAAGTAAACGATAACCTCTTTCATTGCCCTTACAGTTCGTGGTGCACAAGAAGTCGGAGGATCTGTACCAGCACCTTCCGAGAGATGCAATGACCATTGAGTACGGCGGCACCAATGGCTACCAGGCGGAGGCAGTCGATCATTGGCGGCAGAAACTGATGGATAGCAAAGATTACTTAGCTAAGGATGCCCAGAATGGAACCAATGAGAAACTTCGCATCGGATTGGCCAGTGCCTGGGCGAATGGTGAACTGGACGGAATGAGCGGCTCCTTCCGCAAACTGGAACTGGACTAAGTTAAAGCCACTTTTTGTTTTCAATTATCGTTTTAATTAAGTGCTAAAACTATACAAATAATTTAAGGCCTATTCCGGGTCACTGGGTATCTCGTGTATCCTCTTTAAAAACTATCTTTACAATTGCCTAATTTTGGTTTTACAAACTTAAGATGCTAAGTGCTGCATTTCCGTTTGAAGTTCGCATGCAGAGTTGTGGCTGCACTTGCTCCAGATGTGGGCGGCGTCTTGGAATCAGCAGGTGAGGGCGTGGCCTTACTTTGAATGGGACTCGTGGTGCTCTTATTGATGCTTTGAACAATCAAGCTTAAGCAATCCAAGCTGGAGCCATTGGCATTGCCTTCAAACTCTAGATAAAAATTTTTTAGTAAAATTCAAAAATTATTTTTCTTACTTTTTTACCTGAAAATTGTCCATATTTCTCCATGTGCTTGTTGTAGAAACTTAGTTTATCTTCTAAATAGGCACCGGCATATGAGCTCTGCAAAAAAAAAAACGAAATCAAATTTTAGTGTTCCTCTTGAGAAAATCGAGGGGAAAGCCATAAATTACAGAAAAGTGTCGCCAAAGCCAAATGACAACGTCAAAAATTTAGCTCCGGGCCTGTCAACTTGGCCAACAAATGCCATACGAAATGCAGTCTAATGATGAGATTAAGCCAAAAATTTATGCAAGTAAAGATTCCACAGGCCAATTAAAATTCATTGAACCACCAAAACTAAAGTGGTGCATTGTCTGTGGCACGACTGCTTGTGGCACACACACACACGCACACACACACACACACGCAATTAAATTAATTTGATGCAATATTTTTTGTGCTGCGCATACGCAGACGACAAGGCATCCGGAGATTCGGTCGGGATTTCATTAGAAAAATTCGCATTAACGCCGATGCTGAGCAAATTATAATTGCCACTTCTGGGTGGTGGGTTGCCTATGGGTTGCCCCTCCACAACCACATTGCCCCATCCCCTTTTTCAAATTTCGCCGTCACTTCGTCTGCAAGGATCGAGGAAAAACAAGAGAGTATCTATAGATATTTTTAGCGGACAACAAAGTACTGAGCAGCAGCAGCAGAACAACAGAATTCAACCCGAGTGAACTGAACTAAACTGAGAACGGGAACAGACGAACTCACACTGCACTTTTATAAAGCGATTTATCATTTTCCAAGCGTTTAGTGACAGCCTGCGCTCGATATGCCACAAGAAACGTACTAGTACACTCAGAGAAATAAATCAAAATGGGGGTAAAACTTATATTTTACTTCTAAGTTGAAACTTTCAATGCGAAAAGGGATTTTAAGGGATTTTGATAGGAAACTTAACACTAAAATGACCTTAAAAAGATTATTTTGCTCTTAAAAACATTTTCACCATGCACGGTTTTCTTCCAGTGTACTTGTTTGTACGTCTATATGGTATTTCGGTGTTTTGTTCATTTTTTTTTTCGAACATATATCATGCCTTGTATCTGAATGAAATGCCACTTATCACTTCGTTTCTTTGGTTGCGTAAAGATTTTAAGCCACTTTTTGGCGCGCTCCTCTTAGAAGTTCTCCACCGATCTTGGGGCATGTAACGGATATGCGGCATTATGCGATTTGTTAACCACAAGCTGCATGTATATTTACCATGAAATATGCTTTTAATATAGCAAAAACCCACTTTGGAAATATGGCTATATTTTTATGAGCGGTCGGCGGTCACTCGGAAAATCTTATAATCCATTTGTGAAAAATTGTGGAAAATTAAAATTCTACAACTGCTGTGTAGAAATTTATATTTGTGAAAAGATTAAAATGAAATTTTTGAATATTGATGATAGGTTTTTATCTTATGATAATTATAGTTTGTTCCAAGAAACGATCACAAAACCTTAGGTAAAAAAGACCCCTTTCCCTTAATCACAAAACGATCACAAGACCTTACGCAAAAAAAGTACCCTTTGTACCCATTTATAATATTATCATAATAACTTTTATAATACATTCATTAGGGTCAGCTAAAGATAAGAGAAAAGTATACAATTGTTAGATTTTCTTTTATTTGTCCTCAAACAGTAATCAAATTAAACCTAAGTTGAGGAACCCCTTTATCAAATTTTGAGTCATGCAGTTAACGTTTATCAATGGCCAGTTTTCACCCACGTTAACCACATCTTTCAGTGAGTCATTTGCACTCAAGAATTCCATCAAACCACTTAAATGATTATGATATCAATTACGTAGAAATTTTGACTGATAGACGGCATGGCATTTCGATTTGATGGCGGCACTTAACGCCGTTTATACCTGAAGTGCATCAATTTATTGGCAACGATAAGCAGAGTTTTTCCTTAGGTGGAAACTCCGAGATACACACCATATTTCGAGTTCAAAAGGAAATTTTGTAGTTAAATCGCTGCTGGGATTTATAAATACCAAAGATATATACTGAGGCTCCAAGTGAATGGATATGGATGAGATGGATGGATTGCCAGGGTCTGAGATGCACTTCTGGCGCATTGCCAGTTTTTAATCAAACTATGGCCGCACATTAATATCTGCCAATGGGGGGAGGCTCAACAGTCAACATACAAATATGCTAAGTTTTATGGTAAATTAACAAATTTGTACATTAAAAATGTGAAAAACTTAAACAAACTGCATGGAAATTACTCAACGCAAACGGGTGAAGAAAAAGGGAAAAAACGAAAAACAGAAAGAAAAAGAGAGGGCGTTGAAGATGGCAAAAATGTTTGCATAATTGTTGACAATTTGTTGGCCTGTCATTTTGGGGAGTACCGCTCCCGTTGCCCCACTTTTCGAGCCATGTCTTGTTGCAACACCTTTCGAAGAAGAACATTCCGAGATCTTGTCATGTTTTTCCTGTGCAATTTGTCAACTGCCACCATCGGTTTTTGTTCCCCGACGGTGGCAGCAACGGTGGCGGCATCGTACGGAAACTATTATGAAACCGTAAAGCGATCGTCGCAATCTCAAAATCCACCAAACATGGGGCTGACTCCAACGAATTTGTTGTAATTAATTTACAACACGATTTCCATTTTCATTTTCATAGACCAGGTGGTGGTAGGGGGCGGTCTGGGCTTATAAAAAGAAAATTTATTTATTGCCTTTCACTAAATGCAGACAACGACCCTTTTCCCTGCCACCGTAAATTCTCCGGCTATTTGTCCTCTATTTTTTTCCCCGTTTTTTCTTTTGGGAGGGGGTTTTCTCTCCCATCTGGGCGAAACTTCCCTGATCATAAGTCATAATCTTCCCGGTAATCGGTTGATATAGTAGGGAGGAGCATCGCCTGCCGGCGGAGCTTATTAAGTTGCACGTCAGCGAGCGCATAAATTCCGGTCAGCAGATATCACCGATTGGGGGGACTCTTTTTGGGGATCCGTGAAATGTACGTATATTCTATTTTCATGTTTCGGCAATGCGACCAGTCCCTGAGATTTTGATGAATGTGCGCGATGCCAGAAAAAAAACAAAATAAGAAAAATGTACGAAAGCGCTGCTCATGCATGAGAATTTTTACGAGAAAATAATTGCGGAACGTTATACATCTCGATGTTGGGCTTAATATTAATTGGCGTTCAGCGTAAAAACTTACCAGATAATCGGACTGGCAGCTTTTGCCGCTTAAACTGGGCGCCAGGTTGTCGCCATCGCGTGTGGGATTGGATTCCTTTCAAAGAAAAATAAAATATATACATATATTATTATAGATTAAAATCTTATAAGATAAACTTTAGAATATTACCTGTAACAAATCCTCCAGGCTCTCGATATACTCAATGGCATTGCGCAATATCTCGACCTTGGGCAACCGCTGGTTGGGATTGGATGATGTGCGTCGCTTGAGGATCTCAAAGGCCTCGTTAACCTAGAATGTGAAAAGAAAATAATAATAATAATCAATTAATGGCCATCGTTGGAAAATCATGGAAACCCATTAGGCGAGCCATAAAAACATATGTTCCCCCCTTTAAGTGGCTCTTTAATAAAACATATTTTAACTTAAATAGAGCATAAAATTTTCAACAATTAAACCGTTCGCCCGTCGTCTGTCTCTTTATGACAGCCCCCTAGCATTTCCCCACCCAAATTTCCCTACCCTTCCTCCTTTCACATTAATATATCTCTATGTGGAGCTATAAATACGTGTGGTTCATCCAAAACTTTTACGACTGTCGAACTCATAAATGCCGCTGTTTAACTCTTGGTCTTGGCAAATCTTTATGTTTAACGCATGTTGGGTGGTTTCCCTTTCTGCGTTTTATGTCAATGGATCCATCCCCTCTCCTATGGTGATGCAAAGTATCCAAGGCAAGTGGCGATGTGTTAATTTGTGGCATGCCACCGCTCCTAATGACATTGCAAGTAAGTTGCACTCTTAAAACGTAAGAGAATTGTCTATTTTGGGATGAAACAGAGGCTGGTAAAGGGCTATAAGTAATCCTCAGAAGTGTCTTTAGGCTCTAGTCCTTACGTTATTATTAAAGTGTTAACAAAAATATTATTAATATTTTAATTTCAGTTTATCAATGCATTTTTAACATAAGTAACTTTTTGATTGTGGATCCTTAACTTAGGCAAATATGATAATATATTTTTATCATTGTTAAAATCATGTAAGATCGAGCTTAAAATCATATTGAAAGATCAATTTCATGAAATAAATATTCTTATAATGATTTGCAGACCTTTAAACATTTAAGCAATTCCAAAAATTTCACTTTAATTTATACATTTCGGTGATTTTTCTCTGACTTTTTTGTTTCGAAAAGTTTTTAAACAATTTTTGTAAATTTCCATATTATATGAAGAAGCTAAACTTTCATAAGAAAGAGTAACTAAACTTCAAAAGTTCTTTTTTAACAATTTAAGCAAATCTCACCTTTCTCAATCTCCGTCGTTCCCTCATGGTTGCCGCCTTCCTGCGGTCCACAGTGACGCTCTTCTTCTTGCATGCCTTGCAGGCCCACGTGAGACAGGGTCGCGAGGATTGAGCGGATGAGCAGACCAGAGGCGCCAGAACATGCTCCTCGGAGCTAAGACTACTGTTCTCGTCATCATAGTCGGTAGTGTATATAGGCGAAGGTGTCATATTCATGCCGACCTGCTTGTCCAACTCCGCCGGATGATTACCATGACCGTAATTGCAAGATGATCCCGAACCCGAGGCGGAGATGGAAGTACTAAGATTATTTCCCACATTTGCATCTCCGACGGCATTGAAACGACTGAAGAAATTCTGCAGTGTCTGGTTGGAAGTCTGGCTAGGATTGGTTAACTGATTCTGTTGGCCATAACCATTGAAGCCATAGCCAGGATGAGTTTGTTGGCCATAACCGTTGGTGTACTCCTGCTTGATGCTGTGACCAGCGGGCATTTCACTGCCGCCACAATTGTATTTCGTCATTTTACGACACTTCACTGCACTAAGGTTTTTTTTTAATTTTAAAAAAATATATTTAAATTATTAGAACTTAAGTAATTTTTTTATAAAACTGCACTTTGCAAGTTCTTTTGGGATTTTATTGGTGATTTTTAGAAATTTTATGAATAGGCCTTTCTTTGCTATTAACGTTTGCTTAAATTCATTTTTTGAGTCCTTGGAAAAGTTGTTTTTTATATATTATTATATTTCTTGTTTGAGTTTTTATTAGAATTTTTCAAGAACGATTTAAGGATAACTAATCCCCAATCTTTCCAATAACAATCCTTTTTGTAAGATCACTTTTTCAATCACAAAACTTTATAAATTTAAGTGTTAATCTTTACTCATATAATTTAAGAGTTTTATATTTTTTTAGGCAGACTTTGGTTTAAAATTTCAACTGCCAAATTTTCCGAAACTATTTAAAAACACGACTAATATTTTTTGTTAACTACCGGATCGAAGACCATTTGCGTGCCGCAGAGAGTTCGTACCGCCTTCCGCCGCAAACGCAACACATTTGGTGACAATATTTAAGAACGGATCTCGGGGGCCCCCAGATGTGCTTGCGATCCTCTCGGAGTGTGGATGCTGCCGCGTTTTGAGTGGCTAAACGGTGCTGGCGGTGCTCTCGTCGAGTGGTTCCTATTTTTAGAGGCGCCCCGCCATTAGACGACGACATTGGCGGTTGTCTAAGGCAGAAGGACGCTGCCTCAGGCCACGCCTCTCTATTTTTTTGGTTGAGTTTTCCAACAATTTTTGACTCAATGAAAAGCGTGTTTGTGAAAGGCTTATTTCGCTTATAATCAAATAAATTCGATTCTACCTGGCCAGCGATTAGTGTGGGGCATAAATTAACTGTGGCAGAGCCGAGCAATTCGTTAATGTGACACTTTTAGTGGAAAGTCCCTCCGCCGTAACCCCCAGTTTTTCTCAATGGCAGCCACTTTTCCATTGAATTATAGTCATACCGGACGAGAAAAACCTCATTGAGCATAGGAAAATCAAAAAAAAAAAAAGAAAATATATAAAATAAAAATAAAATAAGAGAGAGGCATCGAAATAAAAATAGTCAAAAAGTTGTGTTTATTTATCGCTGCTCAGGCACAATATATATCTTTGGAAATCACCTTTAAATCTTCCCCAGCGATATTGTAAATCTTTTGTCTTAGGATCGCGGTTTGCTCGACCATTTCCCATTTTCATTTTCCCACTTTTACCTCCCCGCCACCTCATCTCTTAGCATTTGTATTTTTTATTTCCACGCTTTCGTTTTCCCTCGCCGTACTTTGATGGATGCTTTGTTTTGATTCGGTCTGATGGTATTTTGGTGGCAAAGCCTATTTGTTGTGCCACACGATAATCCCAATTGTAAATCTGATCATTATCGCCTGTCCCGACTTCTATTTTGTCGTTAAAATAAACTTGCAACAGACTTCACTTAACTTGCCAACTTTTTATTAAATTTTTTGAAATATTTAGTTAATACATATATATAATATTTACTTTTGTATAAAAGAAGCATAACTTAGTTGCTTTGTTGAAATGTTAAGGCTTCAAGTTCAACCTTATCCACTGGTAAAATTCTCCAACTTTTGTGTAAACTGATGGAGAGTTCGATTTGCCACAATTGGTATATCCATAGGAGGTGATGCCCGCCAAATATATGTTGAACGTGTACCCGTCGTTATAGTTGGCCATCAGGGGACCACCAGAATCGCCTGAACAAGTATCCCTAAATTCCTGACCACCAGCACAAATTTGAGACTTCCGGAGATAGATATGTTTAAATGAATTATCACATTTAAATCTATTTTCCCAAATGTTGGCTTTCATTAATACAGGGCTGGAATTCTGATTTTCTGTTTTCCCCCAGCCGGCTACTTGTAATTTTTTGTTCCTTAAGGCGATGTGATCTACCATAAGACAAATCGGTTGGATTTCCTTTGTATAGCTAAATGGTATGGAATCTCTTATCATTATGTTGATTCTGCATGAATAACCAACAGGAGGTATTATTACTCACCGAATTGGCATTTCAAGTCGCAGCAATGCGATGTCGTTTTCAAATTGGGTATTATTGTAGTAAGCTTCATGTACAACCATGTCTATTATATCAAATTCCAGATACGGGGCAGCACATATCTTATCCGGCCAATATCCCACACAATCCGGATTGGTGTCGGTATTATGCTCGCCCAGGCGCACCCTCTTAAGAACCAAATTTCTATCGACACTTCGACCTTTAATAACACAGTGTGCAGCTGTTAGGACGTAACGGTTGTTGATCAAGGAGCCACCACAAATGGAGACCAGATTTGGATTCAAACTTGAGAGATTCTTATACATAAGCATGGCCATCCAAGGATACATATTTAGATCGGCTTCATTGCCATGGGCAATTCGCTTAGATGGTACATTTCGGCCACATGTCTTCTTATTCGGAAGATGGTCACCTTTTGGCGGACAGCAGGTATAGTACCGCTCCTCAATAGTAAAAGCCCTTGGATCGATTGCGCACAATCGGCGTTTAAATAACTCATCCTTGGCTTCCGATTGTCCCTTGGATTTGGCAATCTGCAGCATGGCGGGACAAGAGCTTAGTTTGCTGCACATTTCATCGGGTCGACACGTTGGAAGTGCTATTCGAATTTTGAAATTAGATTAAAGAAAGAATACTCTCCTATTGAGAAGATCATTACCCAGCATTGGACAGCAGTAGGTGTTGTATCCACATTGCCTTTCCCGTAAAAATTGATTTTTGAATCTAGTTGATTTATAAAAGTCGTTCAAGGGTGGACACTGTTCGAATGGTATACATTCCTCATTTGAGCGACATTTTGAATAAACTAATAAATATTTGAATTAGTAATTGATAGGTTTCGAGTTCATAATCGTTACTTGGAATCTTGGGACAGCAGACGAAGATGCTAAATTTTGAATTCTTCCCCGTGACTTCAGTGCTACAAAGTTTCCGCTCTGATATAATTTTGTCTGATTCAATTTTGTAAGAAATTCGGCAACTTTCGATATTGATGCATACCTCATGGTCCTGACAATTTGAATGTGCTGAAAATGTACATAAATTTTAGATCTTTTTTGATTTGATCATTATATATCTACTTACCATGTCCAATTGATGGCGGCAGAAGAATAATATGAAGCAGAAGACAAATTAAGATAACGTGAATGTAAAACATTTCTTTGATTTCTTTCTAGCTTGTGCAAGAAAATGACAACGCGAATTCTGAAAATATTAGCAAATTAAGAGAATGAAAAGTAAAGATATTTTTTTATTTTATTTAGGCATTACTTAAAGTGCAAAGCATAATAATCTTAATACTTAAGTTCCCTAGTTTAAATTTCCCAGAATATAATTTATTACTCACTTATACACAAAAAAAATTTATAAATATTTGCGTCATGATAAACAAAATTTAATTTAAATTTAAGATCAATATGAGTAACAAAGAGTTGTCATAATTGGAGTTTGAAACTCAAATAGAGCTTTTAAGTAAAAATAATAATTTTTAATTAAAATAATGTCTTCCTTCTAGTCTTCTTTCTATGCTAGGCTATGCTTCTATTTTCAATAAGTAATACGGCGTAAAAGTTACCTAAGTTACCGTCTGTCCCTATGAACGCCGAGATCTCAGGCAGTTTAACACATACGATCCAACCTTAAGTATGCAGATTCTTGAGATATTTCAGCATCCTTTTACGCACGCAAAACGCGGAAAACGACAAAAACTTAACTGTAAGAGGTAGAAGGTTAATATTCTTGTTGAGATTCAGAAATGTAGGTCAAAAGGCCTCACATGGGCAGTGACGTCACCATTACACATGCTTTTTTTACAAAAGGGTGCTCCGCTTAGTCAATGATCGCAAAATGAATACTTTAGAATAAGATCAAATAATAATAATAATAATAATAAGAGTTCTTAACTTAAACTCCTGGATTGTATATATTTATTTATGGTTTTATTGTTGATTCGTAAATTAATTTTTTTTTTTTTTGCTTTTTATACGAACACTTGACGATCTCAGACTTCTGACCAACGAATGCATCTTTTTATAGGGGTTTGCTCAGACTTCTCAAACAGATTTATCTGGTTGACCGGCGACAGCGATTATAGTGTTGTGTAAAATTAATTGTTTTCTCTAACGAGATCAGTTTTATCCAGATTTTAGTAGGTCCATTACAACTCAATATACTGTAAATAAAAAAAAAAACAAAAAATGTGAAAAATAAATGCAAATATAAAGCTACCTATAATATTTTTCGCAAACTGACATTTATCGATACTTATCGTTTTTAAAGCGTGGTTTAAATAAACAATCCTTAAAGCCATTGTTATATGATAATGCAAGCTAATGAGATTATACATTTTGATAAACTTCACAGGTAACAAGCGGCGGGTAAGCGGCGTATCCGTGATATTTTAAAATTTATTTACTTGACAATTTAATGTAGAGAAATAATTGACGTTGAGCTAGATGGCGTATTTCAGCTCAATAGTTGGCGCTCTATGTTAAATGTTTATTCCAGCTGACAAGTAGGGTTATCAAAATATCAACACATCGATATTTTTTTGTTAAATGATATGTTTATATCGTGATATTTTACTTGGCAAATTATTTTATTGTCTTTTTATTATGGGCGATAATTTTTTATTTGAGTAAAAAATATCAAATATATTGATAATAAAATATTTTGATTTTAAATATTATTTTTTTTCGATAAAAATAAATATCATCGATAAGATATTTAAAATTTTCGACAACCCTACTGACAACGCCGAAACCGTTCATAAACTATCTGGCAACGCCAAAGACAATTCAATTCAAATAAAAATCCGTTATCGTTTAAAAATAAACTTACTTTAATCTTAATAAAACATTTAATAGATATAAATTACTTTTATAAAAATTACAAATCATTTATGTATTTTGTAATTTTCTTGTTTCTTGTTAATGATTAAGAACTCCGTTTGTCTTGACAAGTCTTAACTGACGCAATTTCGTCAGACTTTTCTGCAGACGCTTATCAATCGTGTACATGTTTATTTTTACCAAGGTAATATCTAAATTAAGATATCCTACGAATCGAACATTGCTTTCCAATTAGGGCAATTGTCAGCTTTCCTCGATCTAAGTAAATTGCACCTGTTGTTCAGGTTGCCTGTTGCCAGGTGGCAATGTAAGTTGTTGCTTTTGCATTTTCTGCTTTCCATTCATAAAATTTCGTTGCATGCGGCAACAGTGCGTATGAATTACGTCAGCCAATGACGGTACATTGAGAAAGAGAGAAAGAGAGTTGGGGAGATATTGAGGATTGGGTATGGAGAGTGGTAGCATGTTAGAGAGATGAGTCAGTTCTCTGCGCAAGAAGAGAGCGTAAACTTATAGAATGAGAGAGAAAGGAAGAGGGGAAATGTGACAGCATCGAAGTCCTTGTGCTTCAATATCAGATGTACACTAAGGAAAAAAAATTATTTGATATTTTATACTTTTCAGATTTGTATCCAATCCAATTAAATCTGTAAAGAATAATATTATTATGAAATGTATGTATAATTTGATCATTGAAAATTTTAAGTAATATGAATTATTTCATTTACATCTAATCTTAAAAGTATATACAACTTTTTCCAGTGTAATATATACCACATCGCTATCCTTTGTGCTTTAAATTAAGTAAAACTCGTCCACGTTAAAAACTTATACTTACTGTCTTTAAGTACATTCGCACATATTCGTACGTATGTACATAAATAAAATTACATACTTATGCCGGTACAGGTTTGTAATGAAATCCATAATATTTTTACCGTTTATGCTCGCTCAACGAAATTCGCTGAAGATTGGATGGCCAAAGAGGGGTGTGTTGGGGTTTTGGGTAGAGAGAGGGGAGATGGGAGCATTATTTGAGAGCGGGAAATCGTCGCATTTCTGGCATTTACATTGAAGCCGTCGGTGGAGACGGTTGCTCTGCTCCATCAGACAGCGAAAAAGAGACACGCAGATAGTGTAAAAGTGAGAAGGCGAGTGTATCGGAGTTGTTATTGTTTTCATTACAAGGCGTGCGAAGAGTGCGAAATGTTATTGTTGTTATTGCTACGCAGAATGGCGCAAAGGAATAGAAAAAGCTGATAAAAACGGAACACAAATTAAAGTAAACAAAAGCGGAGTGTAGTGCAAAAGTTGAACGGAAATTGATAAGCTACAAATAAATAAATAGATTATCGCAATTGCAACCGTTATACCTGTGAAAGCGGCATTAAATGTACAGGTTAGTAATTGTGCATCTAATTGTTGCATGTGGAGAGATCGAATGTATATGCTCATATGTGTGTCAGTGTGCCAAGTTGAGAGCTTTCAGTGTCAACACGTGCATATACACATACACATACACATGTACACACAATCACTTTTGATATTATTTACCTTGCTGTCGACTTACAACACTTTGTTGCTGTAATTACTCTGCCTTATCAGTGTGTATGTGTTTTGTTGTGTTATTGTTTCTTCCGCGCAATCTCTCTCTGAGTTATCTTCTGCCCCCCAGCTTGTCCACTCTCTCTCTCTCTGAACTTTTTTACTCTCCCTCTCTCTCGCTCTTCCTTTCTTAATACACAGAACTTTTAATTCAAAACAGATTTAAGTTTATTTTAGCTCTTGTTTATTTTGTAGACATTTTAAATAGTTTAATTTATTGCTCAGTCATTGTGCATGCAATACGTTGATGCAAATCGCCAGACCCTGAAAATAGTGCAAGTGCATTAAATTTTCACTGAAAAGGAAAATTTCTATATTTATGACTTAAAAATTACTTAAAAATTACAATACTTTTTAAGATTTTCTACATATTGCGTCTTAAAAATCTGCATACAGTAAAATTCTTTGTTTTTTCATTATTATTATTAAGTCGCAACGCAATTTTTTATTATTATGAGTCAGAAATTTAATGGTAAATTAAACAGAAGTTCATGGGGTTTCTTACAATACATTTTCTAAAGTATTCGAGAGCAGACTTTCCTTTATCGTACTTTCCCAGTTCGGATAGTTATATTTATATTTGTACTATATATATTTAAAATTTAATAATTTAAAAATATGTTGCTTGCAAACTAATTTTACTTTTTTTTTAAGTAAAACTCTAATGAAGTTTCTGATTGTAAAATAGTTTTACTTTTCGTGTCCAGCATCTTTGTAACAACAATGTGACATTCCCAAGGTCAACCTACTTACATTCCAACTGATTGATAATATGGGCGTCAACTATAATTGTAATAACTTAAGCATATTAATTAGCTCTATCAGCCAGTCACCTCGAGTCTCATTTTTTGGCACGTGCCATAGGCATTCCACAATTTGAAATTTACGCCCAAATGTAGATACCTTTATTCATTGCAAAATTATTTAAATTTCGCGAGTTCCTTTACTGTCATAATTAACCCATTTAAATAAATATTCACTTCAAGGTGTTTGGTTAAATTAACTTAATTTACAAGTTAATTTATGGCCATTGAAAAAGCTTAAAGCAGTAAATGAAAAACAAGTTTGCCAAAGTACGCAAATATTTAAGACAAACAGAGAATATTCCCAATTAAACATTTACTTTCCCATTCGAGAGCAAACTTCCTGACCAAGTTGGTTTCCTTTAACTGAATAAATCTTTAAATGCAGGCAGCAAAGATCATTAAAGTTAAATATAAGTTTTGGGGTTAATAATAGTCTTTAGATTTGAATAAACAAACGGGACGAACGTCAGAGAGAGCCACACGTGTGTGTTTGCCAACTAAGCCAAAAGAAACGAAAACTAAAAATGCGCAAAAGACAATATTCGGGGGTTGTTCGGATTTGCTATATATATGTATATATATTTTATGCTTTATATAGCAGAAAAAATTAGGCCAGATGTGTTAATTGATATATATGTAGAACTGCAGACATCTGGACGAGCCCGAAAAGTTGTTTACCTTTTGTGCGCTTTTGTTCAACCGGACTGTCTGGCAAACTCTTTTATCTGCCGGTTCGTTTTCTTCTTATCATCACTTTCGAGGGGGTACACTGCCATATAAAAGCCCTCTTATCAATCGCCTTTCGTCTCCAAGACCAAGTCGAAATGAACTCTTATCAGCTGGGCAAAAATTATACGGCGATAGCCAACACCAACGCGCGACTGTAAATTACATACTCGAGGTTTTTGTCGGTCTACTTGGTTATTTATCAATAAAATTTAGTCTGGGTCGTGCAATCTTGATAATGTGTAGAAACCGTAGAGAAACAGAAGTTGAATTAATAGCCACGTATTATGCACAATAAAATAAAATATATTTTTAATGGCTTAATTAGAAGTGCGAAGCCAAGTAGCACGGTTTATTATTTTATTTTCAAGTGCCTATATAATTCTTAGCCAATTAATTGTATTACCTTTAGAAATAACACTTTGCTTAGGTTGTGTGCTTAATTCGATAGCTGAGGAAAGGCAATTTGAGTGCCAATTAGAAGAGTGTATAGATATTTTTAGAGTGTACTTCAATAGATGATACTTCAGAAGCTTGTGTCTGTAATTTGATGACTAAGCAATCTAGGTTTGAGAGCTATATTGTTGAATAAGAAAATTAAAATACTGATTTGGTAGAAACCAACACTTAAAAAGAGCGATTACTTAAGCTTTGAACATATATTCATTTTATGGGCGTGTTTGTTGAATAACATGCGGTGTTTTTCTTCGAATACGACCAGACTATTAAGACATTTAGTTCACCTAATTCAAGCCATTTAACACTCTGTCAATCTCAATTGTGATCATTCGCCGGGCGATGAAAGTTAAATGAGAGAATCGCCAATGAGATAAGCCACATTTTAGAAATTTAGACAGCTGCACGTAAAATCCCCAACCGAAAATAAAAGCTAAGCCCTGATCCAAATGCCTAGCTTCCACCCATCTGGGTGGAGTATTCGTGCCGTCTGTGTGGGTTCGTGTGCTTTTCTGATTCCAATGAATTTCAGTTCCCAGACCAAGATACACTTTTATATGCCCTCCCCTTCTCAAAACAAAAAAAAATATAACCTACACTCATATGCCATGTACATGTGATATCAATGGGCTTGGGCTTAAGGCATTTTGCTTGTGTTGTGTGTACATAGAAAACGGAGCACAGAATTTTTGTGTGTTTTTGCGCCTGTTACCCAAGTAGCACACATAAACAAGCTGATTTTGCCTTATAGTACCTTATTCACATGCTTCCTCTAACTCACTCTAGCCGATAAAAACTATAGGTTTGCTATATAAACAAATTTTTGAGAAAAATTTTTGGCTAACCTTGAACTGTTGGCAAAAAACTTTCACAATGAAAAAAGTTCAGTATCAAGGACCCAGAAATGTGTAGCGAGACGATTTCGGAGCGTTTTTCATTTTGGCAAACGAGCTGTGGCCAACGCTGCGTATACGTAACAAAGTTGTATGGCAAAAGAAAAGTCTCAAACGGTTGAGTGTGTGTCTGAGTGTGTGCTTTTGCTTTTTTGAGGATATGGGGGGTGTCGTAAGCACACACATATGAACATATCTGCGTTAAAGGTTTTTGAACTTGTTTTTGGTAATTTTCCACCATTCAGCCTGTTTTTGGGTCAATTTATTTATGCAAAAATATCAAACACCCCAAAAAGAAGAAGAGAAAAAATTAAAAATATACAAGCGAAAATAAAAATTAAAAAAAAAGCAAAACCAAAAACAAAATAAGACTGGTATTTAGAAACAGCGTATGAAAACAGAAAGCTCACAAATACTCAGAAATCGCCTCGGAATTTCGGGAAGGCGGCAATCAAAACAAAGTGTGCGAAATGTTTAAGTTTATTCATATATGTATGTATGTGTAAAAGCGAAATAAAATAGCTAAAAATACAAACAAATATGCATAGGAGAGTACATACATTTCCACGCTTATATATCGGGCATGCCTCGTTAATGGGACCCATCACGATACGATGGTGTGGCAGCTACACATTAAGAAAAATTACAATAAAATTAAATTAGATTTATAATAAAATTATCTGAAAATTTGGTCATTTTTAGAAATAAATTTTTTTAAAATTTAGTCTCGTTAGGAAAAAAAAAACCAGATATATATTTAATTTACCTTTCTTGCAATGCTAACAATATTTTTACAATTAAGTTTTCCCGTGTATACGAGTACAAGCATAAAAAAGCAAGTATACGTACCGTCGGCCATTTAAAATTATGTATTTGTTCATGGGCAGCAGCGTAGTTAGTATGGCGAAAAGATCGGTCACACATATTTAATAAAAAGCCACCCTGCTCTCCCTTGCCCGTCTTTGAACTTGCGAAAGTAAAACTTATTTGAGATTTGTCTTTAGCATGGAGAATTATCAATACTCTTTAAGCAAAAATGATATATTGGTAAGAATTATATATTCAACTTTTGTATCTAAAGGTTATAAACTATTTATGAGCATATATCGCCGGTAAATGCAATCAAGGTTTTAATAAAAAGACTAATTTTAAAACAGATAGGCCAACCAATTAAATAATATATCTGATAAAGTTATCTTAAACATAAGACCTTTTTAAATATTTTGAACAAAGCAGACCCGCTCAGTGCGAAGACATAAAAAATATGTATATCTATATATATTTTTTGCGATAATATCCAAAAACGCGTTTGAACTTAGACTTTGAACGTAGGAGAAAAGCATCAAGAATAATACATTTTATAATATTATCTTAATTTCCCATTAATACAGACCCCAAATAACTATAAATCAAGACACAATCTTATCAAAAAGAGTCACGTTGACTTTGATCTAATCGCTGTAATAGTTACAGTTAGTTGCTATACCAGAGGACTGTTACTAACCAAGCATGATTTATTTCTTGGAGTTAGGAAAATCCGGGAAAACACAATAATAACTAGCATCATAACAATCAATAAATATCAGTTGAAGTGATTTGTTTTTGCCAGCCCATTTTTCTGTCTGGCTGGTTATATTATATTAATAAATATTAAGCCGACAAGGATCTTTATGGTCCATGATTGGCAATTTCCAAAATCATTTCTTAATTTGAGGCATTTATATATTTATAATTATTAAAAGCTTGAATTTATGGCTGATCCTTCAGTTCAAGGGGTTTTTTCTTCATCACGCACGCTTTTTCAGCTTGGTCATTATATGATCGGTTATTATTTAGCGTTTATAAGGTATATAAATATTTGACTTTATTTAATTGTTGGTATATTTATGGAGGTGTTTGGTGGTAGCCAGTCACCTTTACCTTTAATACAAGGCCCCTAAGATTTTGCCATAATTCTCGATTGATAGTGAAACTAGAGAGAGAGTGAGAGGTGGCGAGAGAGCTGCGGCGAGCGGCAATTTAAATACTTGTTCGCCTTATTCAAACCTATAGATAAGTCTTGAGAGTTGAGAGTCTCTGTCTGACAGAGCGTCATAAATATTTATTTTACATTTATATATTTTTTTCTTCTTACTTTTCGCCGCTCTGTGGCAGTCGTCTGTCTTCCTCTTCGTGAACGTCGAACGGCGTTGGAAATGTTTTCGGTTTTCGCGGCAGGGCGGTTTAGTTCCCGACCGCTCGCGGAACTATTTGGTCGCATTCGGTGCGAAAAGTCGTCTCTCGTCTGAACAGAAAACATATAGAAGAAAACTTAACCCACCAAACAACCACAGCTCTCTACTTTCGATCCACCTACAAGTAAGCCAGGGATCAGGTTTCACCTAGAAAACAAAATTATTCTCATAGGGCTTTAACTTTACGTTATTTTAATGTTAATCAAAATTTCGAGTTTTATGTAATAACACGCTGCTCTGGTCATCCACAGAATCTCAACTGCATTTGGAGCTAGCGGCCGGCGAGCAATGTAACACTAGGAGCCGGAGATTACAGTTACCAGAATGTCTAGATAGCAGTACCAGGATCCCTATCCCGATCTCAACCAGCAGCCAGATCACACCGAAACCCCAAAGAAAACTAAGAAAATATAAGGCAATTTCTGGCTACACGATATGGCTCACTTCAGTGGCCATCGACAGCCGGCAGAGGTGCCGGCACATTTTAAAAATCTCTTCACAAATGGCCAGTTGGGAGCAGCGGAGGATAACAATAATAACGATCAGAACGAGCAGGAGAATCGTCCGAATAATAACAATAATGAAGGACCTTCGGATCCTGCCTGCTGGGTCTTTGGATACGGATCCTTGTGCTGGCATCCGGGCTTCACATACACCAAGTGCATTACGGGGTATATAAGGGGCTATGTCCGTCGTTTTTGGCAGGGCAACGTCACACATCGCGGCTGTGAGGAAAAGGTAAGTGGGATTACCCAAAATCTAGGTATTAGACATCTGTCTAGCCCTCGTCTGTTAGCCAGCTTTCACGTGTGTGTTTACCAACTAACTAACAGCAGCGATCTGGTAATTATTTTATTGCCTCTGCTGTTTGTTTTTCTTTTTTGCCTCGTCGCCAGTTGCCAGTTTTAAACTGTGAGCAAATTGTGATCAGGCACGCGTTATCTATACGTCGGTCGCTTATCAGTTGGGTGTTTGGCTAATGGCAAACAACAAGTGAAATTAGCATTTGCCTACGTCTAGAGCGGCTGCCAATTAAGATACAGATTGCGTTTCAATTAACATAAGTGATTTGCTTGCTAATCAAGTCAGGACAAGCCCCTTGGAATAGTTATTCGATTGGATATGTTGCTTGAAAATATCTGAAAACCTGTTTCAAATTCGAGTATTTTTTTTAGCTTCATAACACCTGTTTTTGTCCCATTTTTGGTAATCAATTGAGGTCATAGCTGCGTTTAAAAAATACTTATTTAAGAATAGCATTCAGAAAAATTTATCTTGAAATTAATTGCAATATGAAAAATAATCTGTACAGGCTTAATTTAAAAATTCTATAAAAGCATTAAAATAATTTTACTGCAATCTGTGAAAAAGTCAACAATTTTTAAAATAAGTCAAGGTCCATATAAACATCTATAACCCCCAGTTATATGTGTAAATGTCGTAAATAAAGCAAATATACAGAAGGTAAACAAGAAGCGAGCTGCACGCAGGCGGGACCTAGCCCTCAGTCTTTGTCGAAGCGATATATACATAAGCTCGACAAATGAAAATGTATAAAATATAACCGAGTGCTAATGTGTACTTTTATTCTTTGTTACAGCCTGGACGTGTTGCAACGCTCGTTGAGGACAAAGAGGTGAGTAAAAAGTATATATAAATTAGATGATTTATAAGGGGAGTAAAAAAGTGAGTGCGCCGTTCGAATTTCTCAATGTAAGCCCCATTCTGTGTAGGTAGGTTTGCCCGCCGAGAGAACGAGTTCCCTCGACGAGTCCTACGAACTCGTCCATATCTTAGGTAAAACTCTGGCAGATTTCCGCAGACAACCCAACGCAAAGACTCGGAATCCTTGCGGATCCTTCTTCATCATACGCTAGGCGAAATTCCGCTGAATATAGGCGAATGCAACAGTGCACTTTTTACACCTTGATACTTTCTATCCTAGGCCCGGGGACTTTCGCCCAGGGCATTATCAATTGAGTTACCAGGAACTCGTTATGTGGCCCCGAGAGACAAGCATGAAAAACTCAAACCGGCACTACTATTGTCGCGAGCACCGCTATTTATACGTGATGTCTGCCGAAAAACGAGTTGGGAATCATAAGCGACCGTGTGCGATAAGAATAGAACACACCCAAACTGAAATACGGGTTCAAACCCCGCACTGGGCGACTGTTAAAAAATATTTTTAGATTTATGTTAACAACCTGTTTTATTAATTTTTTTTTATTAATATATATTCCCTATTTTTGATTGCAGGGAATCACTTGGGGCTGCGCCTATAGAATAACGGGAAGCACGGCACTGGATTATCTCAAGCAGCGCGAGTGCACACTGGGTAAATAAATCAATCTAAAAGTGAGACCAAGATTAGAGCTAACCTCTATTGATCCCCAACAGGTGGCTATGCAACGATTGATACCAAGTTCTTCCCGCGCGTCGCATCCCAGGATACGCCCTTCAGTGGCGAGGCAGTCGAGGTTTTGGTCTATGTGGCCACGCCAGAGAATATCCATTGGTTGGGCGATGATCCAGAGGAGGAAATTGCCCAGCAGATAGTATCCTGCCGCGGGCCCAGCGGCCACAATGCCGAGTACCTGCTGCGCCTGGCGTTGTTTATGCACGAAGAAATTCCCGGTGTTAGGGATGATCATCTGTTTGAGCTGGAACGCCTGGTCTTAGAGGAACTGTACCGCCGCCAAATACCTCTGTCGTCTGTGATGGGCCGTAATCCGGATAGGATACGGCGAGACTCCCACGAGGACATCCGCCGACCACCATCCTTTGAGTTCACCTCTCGTGTGCCAGATACCAAGCTTCGTTGCCTAAACATTTGATTGTGGGTGGTGGTGCTGCTGGCCAGGGTTGGCGGACACACAGCTAGTGATATGCAGTCCGCGTTTATTGCTACAGCAAATTCCAAATTATTGATCGACATTTTAGCTTGTTAGGTAACCAGAGTCTATCGCCAAATTCGACGTATTCTTTAAATTGTAAATAATCCTAATCATAAGCAACAACTCCTCGATAAGTGATCTGAATTAGCCAATAAGCTATGATTAAGCCAGTCCGTAAGCACAAACAACTTTTTACACGCAAATATGTCAGGGAGTTAAATTAAAACCGAAAACAAATTAATACAATTTTTGAGTTTTAATTAAATACAAAAGCATTCGCACAAATGGAAAATATTGTGGGACCATCAAGATCAAGCAAAACTTAAACTAATTGGTGAGAATTTCGGCGGCACGATTCTCCATCAGCTTCTCCATATTCGTGATGGCGCCCATCCAGGTGTCCAGAGTGCTGGCCATGCCGACAATCTGGTTACGATTTAGGACGCGTGGTTGCACCCACGACATGTTTACTACTCCGGCCACTTGGTCAATCTCCCCTCGTACGAGGTCCAAAGCCAGAGCTTTCATGATGAGCAGCTCCACTTCTTTGGCGGGCAGTTTGGTTTCTTGTGCAATGTCGGTGAAGGAGATGGCCCGCTCGATGGCTGTGCGCTTGAAAGTCATCTCCATAAGACACAGAAGGGAGATCTTCTGTCGCAGTTTGACTTCCTGGGCAGCCAGATCTGGTATCTTTGACCAGATTTTCTTCATGTCATTGAATCTGTTAAAGAATAAATCGTTAATTACTATAGATAGTAATTGGTTAGCTCTACCCACTTGTTAATGTCACCGGTGTTAAATGCTTTGAGAAGCTCCATAAGCCATTCATTTTCCGTGCCTTTCAACGACTCCAGGATGGGATGTGCTAGCAATTCACCAATGTTGTAGACACCATCGCCTAGAAGGGCAGCCAAACCCAAAAAGAAGGCCTGTTGCGCCCATTGATCACGGGGGTATTCATCTAAGGAGCATCCCAGGAACTGCAGACCACATCGGTAGTAATCGCTGTGCTTGCCTACACGACGATAATACTGGGATGCCAGCATATAGTATTTGCCGTGCACGGGGGTCACATTACCCGCCTCCTCCAGAACATCACGCAGTTCCTCAATGATCTTCTTGGTGGCATTCAGATCGTTGAGGTTGCTGAGGTAAAGATTGCCCTGCATCACCTGCAGATACCACACAGCTTCATCGCAGATCTTGACCTTGTCCTTCATTTTCTCCAGAAAGTCGATGGCCTCCTTCTTGTCGCCAATGTTATCCACCACCACTTCGAGGATCTGGATAAGCCCATAGGGGTTTATTCTGTGAAAACAAAAGATCAGATACTGCCGAGTCATCCTAAGAAGCCGACTTACTTGGTCTCGAAGGTGGACAGGAAGTTCTGGTAGAGCTGCAGCAGCGCAGTTTCGTCCTGCAAAGACTCGTGGCGCACGAAGGACACCAGTTTGATGGTCAGCTCATTCCATAGTCTGTAAAATATGTATATTATACAAGAGAAATGGATTTTAGGAAAGAAATCTTACTTTTCATTGTACAGCTCTTCAATGAGCGTCCACTCTGCGGCGAGATCTTTGTTTGTAGTCTTTTTCTGGGCCGCAAGGTAAGCGGTGACATTGGCCTGTGGGTTGGACATCGCAACTGCGTTTGAATCTGCGCTTTATGCCGTGTAAATTCCAAATTTAATTTTTAATATAATCCCAAACTACAAAAATTGCAAATCACAATCGCCGACGCAGCTGTCAAATTGACAGCCCTGCGGTGTGACCTTTCGTCATTGTATTTTTTCCTATTATTCGGTATTTCTAAGCGCTCGGTATTTTAACGTTACAAATTATTTCGTTAAAATACATTCAAATAGAATTTAAAAAGCTGTGATAAAGCCAAATGCTTAGAAATCATGATAAAAAAATGTATATTTATTTAAAATAAGTTCTGGACTAAATTACAAATTTGCTTTAAAAACAGTGATAATATCGTGTTGCTTTTAAATACATTTTTTTTAATTTTATAATCTCTTACCTATTACATATTAATTATTCCTTTCTTATTTTACAGATCTTAAAATTTTAATATATCATATATTAATTAACTAATAATTCATTCGATAAGCGATATAAGTATTCGATTATTATTTTAGGATGCTATGCATGATATTTTAGGTAATTTTTGGATTGCTGAGAAAGCGATAACCCCATATGGTAACACTCATCGAACAGCTGTTCAGCGTGAAGTTGTGTACGCGGAAGAAACAGCAACTCAATTCGTTTTGCAGCCCGCAGCAAAATAGTTTATAATTCCGGACGCCAAGATTGCAATTGGCAGTCGTCGCGCAGCCAACTAACCAGTTGACCCGATCCGCAAGAATATCGAAAGAAAACCGGGGCACAACACCACTGCCAAATAGTACAACAACAACTCGAGTGTGCGCTCTGTAGCAAAAACAACAATAAATAAAAACAGAGAAATTCCGTGTGTTTTTCGCATTTAAACAATTTGTTAGGCAAATAAAATAGAAATCGGAATACGCGAACGAAAGTGCGGCAATTAGTGGTTATATAAATGTAAGACCAAATAACGCGTCGTGCTAAAAAACTATGTGGATTTGTTCGCAAAAAGTTGATACATCGAGAAGAACTAGTTAATAACCACCACGACCTCTCCAACTAGAAATCACATACTCCATTCTGCAGAAGATCCTCATTAGCATTTCTTTTGTGGATTACGGCGCGTGTCAAACATTTGACACTAATCACCACAAAAAACGCACCGATCCCTCGCCCAAAAAGCAAGGTTAGTTCTGGGTTTTATTTTCATCTTTTTCGGGTATATTTTTTTGAGCCTTATCGGTGCCTCATTCCAAAAAGGAAATCCATCTGATTAGCCATTGAATCCGATCGTAGGCCACCTTGAATCACAACACGCATTTATAATCTGTTGCATATGGATCCCAATATTTGGTTAGTCGCCAGTTATGCAACTGTGGGTCTCCCCAATCTTATCAATCACTGGCACCTCGTCGCCGCCGTCTATTAAAAGTTCTTCGTCTGCAGTGGGAACACATGTTGGACAACTTTCTCTTTAAAAAGCAAAAAGCCACTTGAGCACAGGAGATTTTTGGTTGAAGAAAAGAAAATAAGATCACTTTCAAGCTGATATAAAATAGGGAAAGATATGGAAAGCAATTGTTTGGTTGAAATATTAGCTTGAAATGACTTTATTCGATTAATTCAGATCTTCTTGTTTTTAAAGTTTTTCTTTCAATAAATTGAAATTCATGTTTTGGTAAACAATTTTAAAAATGAATAAAATTTATAAGTTTTTTATAAGAAATCCATGACCGATTCAAAACAAATTACATACAGATGACATATTTGCCGTCGTGTGTCCTTTCCTCTAAAGAAACAATAAGAAACACTTGAAAGCAGTCAGCAGGAGTTATTTCGAAACATCCTGTTGCGCTGTCAACATTTTCTCATTTCCTGACGCGTCTGAATTTTGGTAGAAAGAAAGTACTACTACTTTCTCGATGGCAGTTGATTTCCTTGGCCTGTTTCCCAGTTTACCAATTTACCAAAATCGAAATGGGCGACATCTGGCAGCGACAGAAACGCCGATACACACAGATACACAACTATATAGATACAGATATATATATATATATATATATATATATATATGTATATATATATAAACCGGCTGAAGGCGTATTACGGTTATGTGAAGAGCGGCAATTTCAAAAATCCAAAACAAATTCCGAAAAAAACGCTGTCGAATGACGACTTCATCTTCATCTCCGTCTCCGTCTCAGACGACAGACAGCATCTGGCTATTAAAAGCAAAAGTGAAAAATGCCACACAGTCCCAGCCGATGCAGTGGCCACAGCAATAACAGAAACAACAAAACAAAAAATACATAAACCATAAAACCGCTGCAACAACAAGTGAAGCAGCTTTGTCAAGTGCATTGCCGCTTCCTTATATTTTTTTCTTGTATTTATTTTGTTGTAGCTGCGCCCGCCGCCCGTTATGTGGCCAGCGGAGTAGAAATATTATTCAATTACAAGCCAATCCAGTTGCTCCGGGCGCCAAGAGTTGCGAAAGAGTTGAGTTTGCTTTCTTGTATATTCATATTCGATTTTTGTGCCAAGCCAAAGTCGCGCCATCGAGCTCTTTTTGGGGAGACAGCGGAGATCGAAATTATAGCATCGTGAGACTGAAGACTGGTCAATGGCAAGCTTTAAATGGGTTTTCTCTCAATGGGTTTCATTTATGAATGGGTTTTCTTGATTTACAAAAGTCTTATGCTATTAATATAATATTACTAATTAATTCCAAATATTCTTTTACTAAGATACAAAGACAACCATTTATGATATTCATTTATAAAGAGTGGTGAAGTCCCTACAACTCTAAATTTAGGATCTTAGACAAAAAATATGTATTTAATGTTTTCACAATATAGTCTTTCCTCCTGTATTTATTTTAGTAATAAGACTATTATGTTTTTCCCAAAGTTGAGTCACCTTTTGTTATTTGTTAACAAAAAAGAAAGTGATAAGTAAGAGTTCAAAAAAGGTTCTCCTTAATAAAAAGATAATTAATAACTGATTAAACAAAAACATAAAACGTTATCAAAAATGCTTTTACTTTCCCAAGAATTTTGTCTGAGAATGAAACCTTAATCTCTATCAGCGCTGCTAATATTTTAACCACCACTGTAAACTCATTGATACAAATTCGACTTTGGCGGCGATTTCATAACTTTTGCTCTCACCGCTGCGCGCCTTTGGCTTTGCCCAACTTCGATTTGGTTTTTAAACAAATTTATTTTCATTTAACGCTGGGCTGGGCGCTTCTTCTTTGGCTTTATGGTCTGGCGTTTTACTCTCTCGTTTCTTTTTTTCTGTCTTGAATATATGTGAACCAATGTAGTTTGGGGCAGCGGCAACAATGGGCGGGCAGCGACGGACCGAAAAAAAAGTGGTTTCAATGTTGGTAACTTTCTCCGCCACCTGCAAAACCGCGCGACTTCTACGCGTTTAAAACCGCACGCATGCGCGGTTGGCTTGGTATGTCTCCCTTTCTTTCTCCCCCGTGTCTCTCTTTCTTAATGGGCTAGCCTATCTGCCAACTCCTTCTCTTCGTGTTGGCAACAGAAATTGGTCATGTGCCGCCTTCGAACGTGAGTGTGTCTGCCCGTCCATAGATTGCGCGATTAGCTAAACGCGCGCCAAGTCGCATGCAAAACGCGTGCGCGATTTTCAGCCTGCAATTTCATCATCATCATCATCATGATGGCAAGCATAATTGTTGTTATTTCTGGCAAATTGCGCTGGCAAATCGCTAAGCGATGAGTAAACCAGGATAAGTGTATTTCTAATGTTTTTTAGTATAAATATTTATAAATTTAAAGCAAAACAAACCTTTCTTTTTAATAAATATTAGAAATCCAACCTTTCTGGTTTCTAGAGCTATTACTACAAAGTACAAACTATGTAATAATTAATTGAATTGACGAACAATTCAACAAATTAAATATTAAGTAGCTACACGCTCTGCAATTAGCAAATATATGAATAATTTAAACCTTTCCGGTTACTTAACAAAGTAAACCAAAAAGCCTAAACATAAACTATCAGGTTCATTGAAGTATTTTTTTTTCAGACCTATAAAAATACAAAAAATTGCAAAATATAAATTCAAAAAGACTTCTTAAATCAGGGTTAAGTTTTCATTATTATAATACAAAAAACTGCCCATATTTTCCCCAGTGTAATCCTTAAGTATTTGAGGTATTTCTCCACCCCCTTTTTGATTTCTGGAATTGAGAGCATGACTTTGGAAATCGTCGTTGCCTTTTTGTTCCGATCACCTTCAAGCGCTATTGCAAAGCCATCCACATTGCATTGATGGCTACACATTTCCGCCGCTTTAGGCCAACTTCCAGCGAAGGCCAGATGCGAACCCTTTGTTGCGGATGGTCGTAACGAAAAAATGGGGCTATAAAATCGATGTTCAATCGGCTCGAATTAGTCCGGGGGAGGCCTCAAGACTCGCTGCTGTTGTGTGGACTCACTTTGAAATGCAAATATCTCCAGCTCAAGCACAAATGCAAACAAAGACCAACCGACCGACCGACCGCATGCAAATACAAACAAGCCAGCAGCATCTCACAACCCAGCACGCACTTCTGGCATAAACATATCAAAGTTTATGTTTATTAGGCCCGCATTAGAGCCACAAAACACAAAAAAAATAAGCAAACAAGGCGAAGATGTTGCAGCAACCCAAGCCAATGAAAACTGCGGCACCAGCATGGCTTTAGCTTAACAAACCAATTAAGTCCAGCAAGTTTTCTTGAACTCTAAAAAGCAAGAACTTTTTCGTTAAAGCCAAAGTCACATCGATTGCACTTAATTGTCTTTCAACAATCTTAACTAGATCTTGCTTACGGCATTTAATAATTGCCCATTAATTAACCAGATTTCATCATAACGAAACTCGGCTCAAGTTTATGGTTATTGACTAAAAAAAAGTTGTCTGACAAAAAGAGGAAGACGAGACCAAACCGAGTTTTGCATAACTCTTCGATCACAGATGACAGGGGGGCCACAACTTTTCATTTTATTTCTGGATTTCTGTGCTGTTGTTGTAAAATGAGGTCGCTGAAAGAAAAAAAAAAAAGAAGAAAAACCTGTCAACATTTTCATGTTCAGGGTTCAGGAGTGCCAGCAGTTAAACCGTCGTTGCAACTGCCACTGGATTTTTGGTCAGCCACTCACTCTTCCAGCTGCAATTGAAGTTAAGACTTTGCTTTAGACTGTATTTTTTTTAGTTCTTCTTTTTTTTTTGGCCCCTCAACTCGTTTGGCCGGGCACGTAAAACTCACCGAAGCAAGCAATTGGCACTCCGAAATCGTAGTTGACCGCCTTGAATGCTGATGGCTCTTAATGGCAACAGACTGGGCCAGACGACGCAATATAACCAATACCCCCCCCTTTCGATCCTATACTATCCTATCTATATACTAACCAATCCAAGCCGATCCGTTCGAAACAAAGCGTAACGCAAGAAAAATGCGTTGTCTTTACATATTGGTTTATGGCATAATCAAGTTACCAACCGGCCAAGTTCGGGGCGGATGCAATTGCAGCTCCCGCTGCCAAGTTGTCTATGTCACATGCTGTTTGCCGAATGCCTATGCTGGTCAGGCACTAAGAAAAATAATGTTATGATTAATTTATAACACTAATATATACAATGTTATTGCAATAATTGTAAATATTGGAAGAGTTGATAATTATTTATAAATTTGCTTAAGTTCATAATTTTACATTTTGAAACACAAAACCAGCTTGAATCATCTGGCATCTGACATAAGCTTTTATTAAGGTCATTCAATTCATTCTGATAGAGAAACAGTTTTGTTAGTCATATAAATTTGATAAGAATTAAAAACAGAAAACCCCCGCCTAGTAACTATTTCAGTCTACTAATTTCGTATTAATTATCATTCAAATGGTTTCTTATCCCACATTTAAGTATCATATTTTTATAAAGGTATTTCCCATTTTATAAATATGATTTTCTTTCTGTGTTTAGCCCATAGCTAAAGCTTAATGATGTTTTTGGTCTCTGCTGTTTGTGTCAAGATTTTTATTGTCGCCACCCATGGCTAGGCACGTTGTTTATTTACGCCGGTCAAACAGACTTTGAGCAACGTCGTTGCAAGCGGACCAAATATTTGAGCAATGCAGAAGCTAGGCCGCCACTTCGAGACCCGGCAACAC